CTTATAAAAAATGGGTCAAAATGTTTTTTTCTACAGCGCATCTAGCCGACAGTATTTCCGTTATGCTGTGTAGAATCGGGGTGTGCTGTCAATAAATTGACAAGTGCAAATTTACTCAGCTCGGCAACGCCCCTATCAGCCGGCATCGCTGTATATCAGGTCAGTGCATAAAAACCTCTTTCCCTAAAAGCATTAAAAATGATTTTGCCGTTATTGTAATTTATTAAAATTTACATTACTACCCTTCTATAATCAGTTTAATGAACGGTGACTTGAATTACTTCTACGCATTTGACATCAATAATGTTGAAAATTTGACATTATTTAAGAAGCGTATATAATTTTCATTCATCGATATCCTATTAATAGCTCACCTATGACACTTACCAATATGCCAAAAATAACTAGCTAAGTCTGGTAGCTGGTTATTTTTCAACTTTTCATAACGTGCCTGATTGTCGTTGATTTCACTTTTGTCGCTTAAACCTCTTATTGGTCAAATATCAAAGTTATATCTCTTTTACTATAACACAATATATCCCATTGCTCGGAAAAGGCCTTCTCTGTGCAGAGAGTAAGGACTGTTCGTAACCTTACTGCAGATTGGCGGACGTTGCAGATATAATTGATATTATTTCAAATAGATGCAGCTTTCACGATGAGTGCATGATTATTTGATAATTATTTTTATTACAATTGACAATTCCATTGGTCATTAAAATGTGTAGAAAAAGTACGTCAAGACTGTCGCCGCTGTGGGAATCGAACACCGAAAAAATCGAAATTCAGAATTCGCGGCCTGACGCTTTAAGCCACTAAGCTAAACGCCTGGTTGCCACGACGACGAAAATCTTAACATGTTTTATCTACATTGTTTTTTAGCATTTGAAGCAATGCTTGGCGCATCCATTGTTATATCCTTTCCAGCACACAAACAATTTCGAATATCGCTTTACAACGATAATTCGAACGAGAGATGTCGCCATTGCTTCTTTGAAATTTAAATTTAAATCGTTGTCCCGTGTGGTAACAACGCATCCATTGTTATATCCTTTCCAGCATACAAGCCATAACATATAAAAAAAAAATTTATATGGCAAAACAACGTTTGCCGGGTCAGCTAGTGTTATCTATAATAAGAACAATCTTTAAAAAAAACAAATACAAACAAAACATAGAACTTTGTGAAATTACGTGCTATTATTTAAATTAATCAGCAACAAATGTCTACCGTTGTGTAGCGGTTGAGTGAGGCAGCCATATTGAAAATCCGCATTAAAAGCCTACAGCTGATAGCTAACTAGGGACACGTCCTGCGGTTAGTCGGCTTGATCCGTTTCGCCACAAAAGGGGCGAAATGCAACTGATTCCCGCTTCAATTAAATGGGCACAGGCAAACATATAAACCAAAAAGAACTATACATATTCATATATGGGTGAAATCTGTTATTTATGTCGAACTAGCTATTTTAAGGGTAACCGTACCTTAAGTAAAAAAAAGTAAAGTAACAGCCTATTCAAATCCCACTACTTGTTGTGTGAAATGTTTTTTTTTTCTTGTTATTTATAAATATTACGGCTCGTTAACCGCACCTTGAAAGGTAAAAAATGGAACCCTTATAAGATCACTGTCTTGTCCGTCTGTCTGTCCGTGTGTCACCACCGATTTTCTCAGGAATGGGTGGACCACGCAAGTTGAAATTTTTACCAGATACTGAGGTCTATAGTCCCTATACACCCAGTATATAAATCAAGGTCCTTGATCCAGTACATTAATCAAGTACCAAACTTTAACTTTTTTATTTTTCGGAATTTTTCCTTTACTTGTGCTTGCTTTTAACTAAAATTGACAATTCAAGGTAAGCAGGAACTACCCTGTGATATAGGTTTTGGGTCGAACATCTGTATAGTAGTTCCCATTGACCTAGAATCACGAAATTTGTCAGTATCCAGTATAAATTTCAACTCACTAGGTCCAGCCGTTCCTGAGGAAATTGGTGGTGATTATTTACCAGTTCTATTATGGCGATATTATGGGTAGGTACGGAGCCCTCGGCATACGAGTTCGACCGTTCTTTTTATTTCAGTTTAATCACCGGGTGGGAATTAGGATGTAACTATAAACAATATCTGACATTTTATCTCCAATAAAATTACTGAATAGAGCTTGACTACCATCTCTGACAGTATATAGCTAAATGTAACTTAGCCTGTCAAGTCAACAGGAACGTTATAACGTAAGCATACTCGTCATTATCATCTCATCACTTTTTATAAACAAAAAGAACTTTGTTTTTGCACTAACAAGCCTTGAAAGTAAGTTGCTTTTTACCTATAAATAAAGGTCACTGATCTGGACTCTTAGTGTTAAGTGCCCTTCAAATAAACTAGCCCCTTTGCGAGTTATCGTTTTCATTACGGACGTAATGGGTATAATTATGCAGCTATAGACTAGTGGTTATCTCAAATTAACCACCGTGTAAAAGTTATATGCTTAAATTCCAAATGATTTTATAAAAAATCGGTAACAATCTAAAACGACCAAAATAAAACGCCATCGTTGCGTTACATACGTTGAATATACATAAATTTAAACATCCTTTCAATTGAAAAATAATTCAAAAAGAAATAAAAACTTTGTGAAATCTATGAAAATCGAATACAAACGGCCTATTTTTTTAAATTCGATCATTGAAATAAGTTGTCTTATCTATATTGGTAGAAAAATTTTTTTTCGATTAAGAAATTTATCGATCCATCAGTGAATTTTGAATCAGTCACTTCGCGTACCACTCTGTTAATAAGTTTAACATGAGATTTAACTCACTTTGCTTAACAGTCTGTTAACAAGAAATTTAATGAACAAGCAGAGCACGGTGAATTTGGGCCTTACACGGCAAATGTTCACCGCCCTACCGAACAGAGCATTTCGCAAAAGCCCAACCGCATTGTACTGTGCCGCATTGCACCTGAGTTCGACGCTGCGCCAATTAAAATATCGAAGACAAATTATTGCTACAATGTTTGAAGTTTGAAATAAACCCGTAAGCGGGAAATCATCGCTTCTTTGTCTGGTAGAGGCTAGAACACATCTAGATTTTAAACTGAATTTCAAACTAAATTACATTAACCAGTAATCGGGGAGTTTAGTTTTAGCCTTTTCACTCCTGCCTTGAAACCACTCACGAGAAACTGTCATGTAGTCAAACGGGAGAACGGGCGCTGGAAAATTATCCTACTCTCACGCTCTACGCAATAAAAAGGTAAATCTCGTACGAACGCCGGAGATCTAAACATAAACACTTCTGACACTTCTGAACAGAAGCACTGAAACGTAACACATTGTTAACCCACAGACTGGTTATTTTGCACCAGGGCTCGATACTTCCAATCGGTTATAACCATCACCAACGACGTGTTGTGCTTGAAACGCTCGCATTTCGATATTCGAGTTATGATACATAATACTCTGGCAGGTCCGTTTAAAAAGCGCGAGAGAGAATCCTCATTACGAAACGGTGATAGATTAAAAAAATACTTGAGTTCTTATGTCGATGGAAATATCATAATTGATTTTTGTCCCATTATTCAGCTAACCCATTCCCTGGTATAACAAGGCTAAATATATAAGTGCTAAGCTCGATAAAAACACATTCAAACGCGCATTAGCACTCTAGAATTCGGACAATAAGTAAGTAATTTCCTACCCTTGCCGATCTATTGTACTAGTAAAGTGTCGAAAAAATAAAAGTTAATTTATACAAACGTCCATCAACATGATTTGAGACCATTGTGCATATTTCGACTGAAATACTTCCTTTACTTTAGTAAGAGTTATCGACGACTTTCGCGGCATCGTAAATTAACTTTTTTAATTGTATACGTTAACAAGATAATGGGCTACTGATATCTATTTTCATTAAATAACAATTTATATTAATTGCTGTGACGTTAAGTGATTCTCTATGCTGTGTCTAATATCTCCTATAATATAGTTCTATATAGAATTTGATGCAGCGTATATATTAAAAACAATTTGATTGACGTTTCTACTCACACCTTTCTTCCTTTATTTTGTACACATATAAATTATAGTTTACCAAAGTTAATAGCAATCTTCTAATCTTCTAATATTTAATAATTTGTATTGAAATATATCGATATGTCGGATCCAAATATATTGCCTAAAAATATATTAAAATTTCGTTAATTCCATGCCCATCGCTAGTTCTTGATAGATCCCACTATCAAGAAATCTCGTGAGAGTATTAGTGTTCTGTGCCCACTATGGTCCTCCGTCCGACAACAAGTCACTGCAAAGTGCAACTGCAAAACAAAGACACAGTGATGACATGGACCTGAACAGGGCAACCGTCGATAACGTCTCCTTTGTGCTTACCATGGCACTCGACACATAATTATTAATTTTTAATTTATTCGAATAGCTTACATCGTGTTTCTTTTTTTATTGAATAGCGAGTCTACATGCATTGATTTCATCATCGCATAGTGATACGCGTTTTTTTTTTTTTTTTTCATTTCAATTATTTATTTTTCTCCCAATTGATTACTTTCTTGAATCTTGTATTCTCGAAAATGATGAATTCTTCATTAAATTGTCAATCTTTTAATTAGAGTTGAAACGTTTAGCTACGTTTTTCTCCCTAAATCCGCGGGTACCTACGTACCTCTTCCGTCAAAAGCCGCCGTCCAAGCCGCCGAGCTTACACAAAACTACACTTTACACATAAACAAAAAAAACTCACTCAAAAAAGTACATAATTAGTACACACATGTTTTTTATGCTGTACCAATGTTTATAAATCTGTCAAATTGTCGAAACGTCATCTCTATAGTTTTCAAGTTTCAAGGCGAACAGCGAACTTATCTGTCATATAGATTTTACGAAAACGCAAGTGAAATAACAAAATAATCAGTTTCTTTTTTATTATTCATATCAAAACGTGAAAAACTAATAAATTATGGCAGCAATACCATTAATGTACGCTCAAGAGGACTGTGAGCTAGGAGGAAAGGAATCTATAGAGGTGAAAGATTATTTTTTTGAAATTATAAATTGTGCAACTCGTCAGCTGACCTTAAAGAAATTACACTAACTGTTTATGCTTAATGCTAAACAAAAACTTAATTACCAAATTATAGTACAATGTTATAATCATATCTAAAAGTGAACCGAAGCAAAAATATCTAAAGCAACGCATCCTTACGTTTCTTCTCTAACATAAAAAATACTATTATTGCAGCCATGTTTTTTTGTGTATTTGACATAGCTTACTGCTTATTCAACGATTATGGAACATTGCTGTTCTTAAATTAATACAAATTCATTACCAAAATTTACCTTTAACCAGAAGCCATATAAAACTTAAACTAAATGGATATCCTAAATTAGAAATATTGCTGGTATCTCCAAACAAGACTTTTTGATCAGCTTTAACTGACATTTATTGAGGTTTAAAAAACTTTTCAGTGACATAAAAAGAAATATATTGTTATAGGTCCTTTATATAATATGCCTTTAATAAATTCTATAAATACAATTTGTTAAGCACCTTATTTCATTTTGAACCAATAACTGAAAAACCAGAACTAAACTTACTTCAATTGACTTCTTTTATTAGATATGCTTATTAAAAGGTATATCTAAATATGTATTTTCCATACATTTATGGCCAGATTTTATTTCAACATATCAACTTATCAAGTTTCCTTTTCCGAGATTCCCATAGATAAGATATTATTCATATTTACTTAAGTATGTAATTTTATCTACTCTCAAATTCACAATTTAAAAAAAAGGCCATTGCTCAAAAAATAATTTTATGATTTTTTGACAGTGTATGCCTGAACACATTTGAGTGAAATAGCTTAGTGTTAGTTTAGTATCTGAGTCATAACTTCAGATTATTTTAATGAAAATTAGAATATTAAAATCTGAATCAGCAACAATTACATGTTGTGAAATGGCCACACGAAATGTTAAAATATAAATAATTATATAAATTTCTTCTTCTACAGGATGATTTTGCCTACCGCAACAATGTTCTCAATGCGGACAAAGATATTCGTTTGGGATTTGTGCGCAAAGTGTATGGTCTTCTTACTGTTCAATTATTGGCCACTGTTGCCATTGCCGCTGTGTTTCTGCTTGTCAAACCTGTGCAAGCATTCATTCATCAAAAGTATGTATGAAGTCATTTTATTCAATTTGTGAACATAAAAGCATGTAGTTAGGTTTTTTAAAATTTCTGTCTAATTTAACATGCCCAAAATGTCCAAAATATTTTGCATATTTTAATAGTTTCTTGCTTTCTTTCTCAGCATATTATCTTCTTTTATTGTGAATAGTGATTGTCAGTAAATTTAAAGTAAACATGATTAACCACCAAGTTTTTAAATATCTATTTTGTTCATGTAATGTTGGACAAGAATACAATTTGTATTGCTGTTGTATAGTTGTTGCAAGCAATTAAATGTTAATATTGACTAATCTAGTGGTTTTTGCCTATTTCTTTCTTAATTTATTACTTATAATAATATATGTAGTGTGTACAAAATTAAATCAAAAATATGTAACACCCAAAATGTTTGTTTTGTTTTAGTTGCAATTGATAATGATACTACAGATTATTAGGTGCATTGCTTATGTGTTAGTTGATCCAAAATCCTCCAGTAGAGCATTTATCACATAAAAAAAAAACTTTGTAACAAAATAAGTGCTAAAAAACAATTAAAGTTGTGCATTTAACACTTGAGCATTAATTTAATCATAATATTGTCTGACAACTGAATAAGTAAATTTATCCAATGCTTTTTGTAAACATTTATTCAGATGTTGTTATGCAGTGTATTCAAATGGTATCAGCTCTAAGTAAAATTAATATGTAAAAATAGGAAGTTTTTGTTTAAAATACTTTATTGTAAACAGATGTATTTTTAAGAGAACCAAACTTTGCATAAGCACATCCACTTCTATCTTATCATAGTATCAGATAAAAGACAACAAGATAATGAATTTAACAGTTTTATTGGATGATTATAATGGTCATTACTAGAAATCCAACTACAAAAATATCTTTTATAAGTATGCTTTGCTACGTTTCATATTGGATTAATTGCTATCATAATTAGAGCTGTTATAAATGACAAAACTACTTTTCAAGTTTGGGTCTGTGTGAATAAAAGTAGTGATATGTATTGTCAGATATGACTCTTTGAAGTAATATTTCTTTTAGAGCGTTTGTCAAAAATTATGAGAGTAACATTTTGATGATGCATGCTCACACAAACGCTCAAAAAGCGATATGATGCCTGATAACTAATTCAATCTTGGCAACCAATAACAACTTTTTTACATTTACCAATAATTTTAAGTTATTTAAATAAACTATTATCAATTGCTAGGTCTTTATGCTAAAGAAGTATAACTTCTTATGTGTGTACATAAGTACATACATACTTTTCTTTATTTGATAGATACTCTTCAAGCAGACTTTGTTGCTTTAAACAGCAACATTAAACAGAAAATTTATGGAAATGATTTAATAATTTCATATAATTGCACTCCTTTAGCTAACTAAATGGAGTTGCCATTTAGTTAGCTAAATAAATGAAAAAACTGATAACATTTTTACCCTACTTATTACACTGACATACTTTACAGTTTATTGCTCTAAAAATGAGAAACGGTACGGACATTCTTAAACTGGGCTTAGTGAAATAATGAAATGCTTTTAAAATCAAAAATGATATAAGTCATTGGTTCACACACCTGAAACTAGAATGCATGCCTTAATGATGAAAAAATTTAAATTAAAATTTACTTATAATAATCTCTTTGTTATGTTTTCAGTGACTGGATGGTATTTGTGGCTTTCATTCTGAGTTTGGTGACACTGTTTGCACTCATTGCTAAACGTCGGGACTCCCCCGCCAATTTCTACCTCCTCGCTGCATTTGTAAGTATGATTCCCCAACCATTTCACATTATATTACCTCAAACAAGGTGAAATTCTATTTATTGCCTACACAGATATGAGACCTATGCAAGTTTATGCAAGTTTTCCGACATTCATGACAAAACTTGATAAGGCGTATTGCCATATAAAAGGTAAAGGTAATTGTGTAATACTGATTTTTGCACGTCAAAAAATGGACCCCTGTTATCTAAGTCTTGAATTTACCTCACTATGAAATTAAAAAAATGCATGTAATAACTGTGTAGCACAAAATGTGCAAAAATTGCTTGTTTCTTCTTGCAATAACACTAAAATTATGTTAGGAATGTTTGAGGTATTTGTACAGCATACACAGATGTTATATTTAAATACTTATAATAATGTTTTTCAGACTGCAGTGCAAGCTTACACAGTGGGGGTTATAGTCTCGTTCTACGACACGTTCGTAGTACTTCAGGCGCTCGCTCTCACTTTCACAGTGGTTTTTTCTCTCACCCTATACACCCTCAACACGAAACGAGACTTCTCCTTTGTAGGATATGGGTGAGTTACATTTTATAAGACAAGCAGCGATTTTCGAATAAAGCGCATAAAATTTTAATCTGTGGAATCTAGGATTGCCCCCTCATTTCACAGCAATCCAGATCGCTTTATTTTGTCCTTACTACACTTCAGCATACATTTAAGAAGACCATATAGTTTTGTGATTAGTTATTTCAGATGATTTTTTGATAAGTCCTTTATTCTACAGGAGGGCTTTTTAAGTGTATTTTTTTTTATTTAATTCTAGACATAAATAATGTTTTATAAAAGTGATAAATATTTAACATGACTCGTAATTAATTAAATACATTCATTTGAACTTATCTCCAAAAGTGCGTGATTTATGGGCAGCTCATTTATTTTACGCGCGATCATTCATAACCAACACGCACACAAGTTCGTTTCAAAAGTATACGACGCACTTATGAATGACTATCGCATTGGAAATTTTTTAATAATAAAAAAAGTTTGTTTTTATTTCAATAAACGATTATACTACCGAGTCGGAACCTCCTGTGTGAATTTGGGCACCTTTAGAAAAGCCACCCTGTATAACTGAATTTTTGCTCTCACTCAACTTCACACAGGTGTTTTTTCGAAAAAGAAGCTCGCCTGATAAAGTAATTACTGCTGCCTTTGATCATCAGTGAAGCTTCGAAAACACTGCCGACCTAACTAACATTTAAGATGACCCAGCAAATTATTAAATTAAAAAACAATGAAAACCTGGACAGAATTTTGGGATTAATTTTAGCCCTGCCAATCCATACCATTATCCATTGACAAGGCCTACAAAAAAAAGGATTGATGTTCATATTACTCTCGCAATACAATTATGGTAACACAGAATGTTTTCTGTTTTCTCTATTTGTTTGTATGTATTATCAAGCACAGAAGTAATTGAATCAATGTTATTTTTTCCACATTGGAAAGTTATAACTTGAAATTTTTAATGCTAATCTGCTCTCAAAATGAAATTTAAATGCGTGTAATAAATTATTTAAATTAACGCAGAAGACGCGACCTTTCATCTTCGATGTGAATCACGGAGCGCCGAAAATGATTCGACAATTTATCTATTAAACTCCCATTTAACTTTGTAATTTACCTTGTATTTATGATGCAAATAAACCTGGATCTTCAGTTTAATATCTCAATATTTGTGTTCAGGTTCAAAAGTGTGTAAAAAAATATTGCACTTATAAAAAGTGTGTTGTTTAAATATTTGCCTCCCTGCATGTAAAGGCTATGAGAATGCTAAATTTTTCTTTACAGAGTTTTCTACTTGTCATTTTCTGGATAGGTGTATTCACAAAGAGCAGCTTTCATTTTCATATTATCAATGTGTACATAAGTATATGGCAAGCCTACATTAAATTATATTATTACTTAACCTTTGGATGAAGAACCTTTGTGACTCAAGATAATATGGTTGATACATTAAAATTAACAATTGGTTTTCAATTATTAACAGGCTTGTAGCAGGTTTGAGTGTACTCATCATTGGCGGCCTGCTGCAAATCTTCATTCAAAGCTCAGCATTTGAGGTAGCCCTCTCCTTTACCGGGGCAATTTTCTTCAGCCTCTTCCTGATCTTCGACACCCAGCAAATGATGACCACACTGTCTCCAGAGGAGTATATCCTTGCGACCATAAACTTGTATATGGACATCATCAACCTGTTCTTATACATCTTGCGAATTTTGAATGAACTGAACAGGAATTAACTCTTTAAGCTTAACTTTCTTAACTTTTCTATTTGGTCATCTTTTAAACAACTTACTAAACTCGAAATTTTTCGATTTTGACAAATCTTAAGAAAAAAATGCTAATTTTGGCTAAACTTTTAAGCCAAACTAATAATAAACAGATTAAAAAACTTGTTATATATCTCATCAACATTCTGGTAATTTGATTTTATATTAAATTCAGTGGGAATTTTTTTAAGTGTCTCTTGGAATACATATACCTTTTCTATTTACAATTTACAACTTAAAAAAGTAAGTTTATTGTATATTCATACATATATGATTACATTGTAACATGAGTGCAGTATTATTTATTAAATATTATATACTTCAATAAATCACTTAATGCTATTGCAGTTTTTTATTAGCCTTCCATGTTATGAATTTAGTCTGAATCAATGAATATGTATGTTGCATGATAAATAAAATTTTGCGTTTTGACAATGTCATACACTATAATTATGTTGAATTGAAATAAAAATTTTAAATTTGTTTGAGATGAAAGGTGTTTTATTTTATTCAAATATCCTCCACCAACTGTGTTTTAAAATGTTTATAGTTATAAAATGTGTGTTTGCTGCTGTAACAGCATGGTTTCTAAGAAGACATTTCATAACTATTGTTGATATATTGCCTAATTATTAAATGAGACTATTCCCAAAGAACACACAATAAAAGAGGGGAAAATGGATTACTACACATACGGGGAAAATTTAACAAGATAATCGTGGCAAAAACTTTATAAATTGTTAAAACATAATTCAATCATTTAAAGTAGTTAAACAAATAATGTTGAAAGGATCTAATAAAAACAAAGCTGAAACAAAATGTGTTTTGATTGACGCAAGATTGCTTTATTACATCAAACTTGTGGGTTAATGAAGCAATGACAACAATATATTTGTTTTCTATAATATGTAACAAGTAGAAGTAAGTTAAAAGTTCTTAAAAATTATGGAAATTGATTACTAATTTGCTTACCAAATTTTTGATAATTTTTAAGTGGTGTTCTTGGATTGGATCACTGGTTGGTGGTCACCTGATGTTAGATCTAATTTTAAGCTTCAAATATTATAAAGGACTTTTTTGATTAAGCCCTTTATTGTGATTTAGACGTAAAACTGTAGAAAAAAGAGCAAAAGAAACTCCCATATAGTGCACATTCTTTAGAAAGTGTTTCAGTCCGATTAGAGATCTGAAACTAAATTTCCCATCCCATGAAATGAAACTAGATCATAATTTGATGTAAAATGCAGCAATATATTGAAACAGATTCATTATTAAATAAATCACATTGCATTATATAGTTAAAACTGTCCTCAAAATATTTACATCCTCAAATGCACAAAATTCACAATGTCCACTCAATAACATTGACTTCACATAGATACAATTAATTGCAATTCTTAGAACTGACATATTATTCTGTCACATGGATATAATACAAACCATATCTCACACAATACGTCAAGCAGGTACATTTTTCAGAATGAGCTTAGGATTAGACAATAATTATTTTAAACAATACAGATCATATACATAAGAAAGTTCGGTTCATTTTCTCTGTTGCACTGTTTTTAGATTTTACAAAGTCTAATAAAGTTTATATGGAGGACCTTATCAGTTCTGAGAATTCATTTTTATTACCTAGGCGGGGTGATTTGCATCATATTTTAAGCAGCATTTTTATTACCTAGGCGGGGTGAACACAACATTTTCATCATATTTTAAGAACTTAAGAATTTAAGAACGGAACAATCAACTGTGTATCACACAAAAACATGTCCCGTGTGGCAATCAAACAACCCTAACACCGAAGCCAAAAGCTTAACAAAAAGTTAACATCAGATTTAAAATGTTGACTTTGCTTCACATTATCTCATAATAATCACCTGATCTTTTTCTTTTTCCTTTATGGTGGTTTATCCACTTGATCTCATTATTCATTTAATTTGAAAAAATGGCTTAAAACAAAACAAGAATATGCATTAAAAGGCTAAAATATTGAACTTTGCAATGACAAGTTTACATTTACATAAAAAATTTGTATATTGACAGTAAAGGTATTTATTTAGCAACAGTTAATTCAAATTTAACACAGTTGCCAGCCCACTCAAAAACATGTACCTCAAGCATTCTGTTGAAACGGATTATGGATTATAAAACTGGCTAAATTCAACATTAGTCACTACCAAATACACTTCTAAGTCTATCATTAGTCCTAACTGTGACACTTCCACTCCCCTTTTGCTTAAGACTCACTTCGTCACTGTTCATTGTATGATGTATTGCTTCATGAATTGTCAGATAATATTTATCACTGAATTCCTCTTTGCACAGTGCACATCTTATTTTTTCCTTTGATTTCTTTCTGTCAGTGCTATTTACAGGAAGCGGTTCTTGAAATACAGGCCTTAAAAAACATTTTTTGTTAGGACAATTATTTAATTTTGGAGGAAATGAGAATTTAAATAAGATTGATTTTGACAAGAAAAATAATTTTGAAGAATGTGGAGATACTATAGTATGCCTCTGAGGGACAGTTTCGTTTTATTACTTCTAATCACAAAACACTGACCAATTTAAGACTTGATTTAATTAAAAAATATAATTACCCACCTCTTCACGTCTTCCAATGTTTTTGGCTTGTGAAGCTCTTTATTGGCAATTGCTTTACAGCGGCGGCTGTGCCTGGTTAGTTGCTCGAAGGTGTCGAACTTCGCCGAGCAGGCGTAGCACACGCTCTTGTTGTGGCAAGTTTCGTGCACCATCAGGTCCGTGGATGTAGTGAATTCTGCGAATTAAATATTTTGAAGACCATACAAGTTCATTTTACACTTTACCTATACATATAGCCTTTGTATATAGCACAAACAAATGATGAACATGAAAGTCACTTCTACATTAACAATATGTCGTTATTCAATATAGAATATAATTAAAGAATTAACATTAAAGAGTATCTTGTGTATCTTGTATTAACTGATGTTTTTGTTTTCAGTTCTGAGACTATTAAAGCTTCATCTGACGCAGAACCGATGGGCTAGCCAGAACCCACAGGTTTGGGCCCTCCGCTGTGGGTAGTGCCACGCATGTGCTCATGCGTGCGTTTAACTATGGTGTGTCATCTAAGGGCCATCGAGGTCGTGGTTCGGACCGAAACCCCGATGGCCGTCGACTGTGCAATTAGCTAATCGGTGGCTGGGGGCGGTGAGAACCGCCCCGGAACGCGGGTGTAACTTGTGTACGCGTTGTGTTGGTCTCGCCGTGCTCGGAGGCGAGGGCGAACTAGTGTGTTTTGTTGTTGCACTAACTGTGGGTGTAGTGTTGTCCGGCGGGACCCCCGGCAGTGGGTCCGGCGTGTCTAAGTCCCCTTCCTCGACCGGGTCGATTAGGGCGTTTCGCGGGCGACGCTTGTTGACGTTCGCGTTTTGGTCGGGTTGGTAATTTGCTGCGCTTACCACCAGAGGGTTGGGATGATGTTCGGCTCTATCGAAGAACCGTTTGGTCAGGTCTTTAAAATATTCGCGAATCGTCGGGAGTCTGCAATCGCTGTGCAGGTCGACGTTGCGTTGATACCACTGCGCACCGGTTGCGCGGCGGATGAACTTATTTTGTACTATTTGCAACTTGTACAAGCGAGTAGGGTGCGTGTGGGCGAAGGTCATGCATGCGTAAGACATAATAGGTCGTACGCAGGTCTTATATAATAATAATTTGTGCCTTAAGGGCATTTTACTTTTAGCGTTAGTTAAGTTGTGTAGCCGGCCGGAGACGAACGCGGCTCTATTGCGAACGTTATTAATGTGCGTAGTAAATGACATACGCGAGTCGAAAGTGACTCCTAAGTATTTGACCTTCATTAAAGAGTACAATTATTGGATAAGAAAATTCTACCAAAAAAAAAAAAAAAGACAATTTTGCGATGGAAGCTCTTTAGCTTAGTTAATGTTAAGATAAAAATCTATACAATACAGTTATACAGGGTGGCTTTTCTAAAGGTGCCCAAATTCAAACAGGAGGTTCAGACTCGGTAGTATAATCGTTGATTGAAATAAAAACAAATTTCAAAAAATTGCCATTCAAATTTCCATTCAAATTCAATTCAAATAAATGCGTCGTATACTTTTGAAACGAACTTGTGTGCGTGTTAGTTATGAATGATCACCCGTAAAATAAATGAGTTGCCCATAAATCACGCACTTTTTGAGATAAGTTCATATGAATTGTAATTAATTAATTAAGAGTGATTTAAAGTATTTATCACTTTTTATATAACATTATTTATGTCGAGAATTTAATTTAAAAAAATGGACACTACAAACAAAAGCCACCCTTTATAGTTTTAATCAAGGACTGACATATTTAAGTAGAATACATATTAATAGCATTGATTTATATAGATCTTTACATCTCAAAACTTAAAGGAAACACTTACTCCGTTGACATGTTACACACATGAACTCGTGATTTTTCGGCCTCTTTTCCGGCGAACTGTTAGCAGCCTTTCTCTTTACCGATTTGTATGAATGTTGAGCGATTACGTGAGCCTAAAAATATACACAACATGAGGTACGGTTATTTTTTTTTTTCATTTATTAGTTACAGTTATTTATTCCCTTTTAGATCTGATCTTAATTTTAGTAGGAACATAGGCCGTGATAGCTCAGTGTCCGGCGCTCGCCTTTAATTCAATATACTCGAGCAACCGAGTTCGATCCCCGGTGCCGGCACCAATGAAATTGTTAATTGTTAATTTTAATTGCTGAATTATCACGTGCTCGGTGGTGAAGGAAAACATCGTGAGGAAACCTGCATATTTTCGAAATAATAACTAGAAAAAAATATTTCGAAAATATGTGAAGTCCGCCAATCCGCAGTGGGGCCGCTCGGTGGAGTATGCCCTGATACCCTCTGTATAGATGGAGCCTTTACCCAGCAGTGGGACACGTATAGACTGTTACTTTTATAGGCCCATCTCCCTAAGACAAAACTCAATGAGAACTACTGCAACTATGGCTGTATAATACTGAGTGCAGAATAGAGTACAAAAGAGTGTCGTACAATTTTTACATAGTTACAATTAACAGCACTCATTCTTTGTAATTCAACCCTCAAAAGAGTACCCAGAGATGATTTGATGTCTGTACTGTGCAGTTTTGTAATGTTTTACAGGTGTTGAGCGCTCCTGGCGCAAATGTCACATGGTGATTAAGCACATTTAAATCTATTCATGATCCACATGAAATGTTTTATGAGTCCCAGTTAAGAAATAGGATATAATCGATAAGAGATTCAACAAGCTCAATTAAATTATATTTGTAAATCATACCATACCATACCTTCAGGCCAGAAACACTGTTAAACTCTTTGCAGCATAATATGCATTCCAAAGAAAGATCGGTGGGTGTAACTTCATCCTCATTCTCATCACACATGGGCTCCTCTTTAATTTTAGGAATCTAAATTAAAAAAATATAAAGTACAAATTAAAATAACTCAAATTGACTAAAATAATAATTATTCAAATAATAATATCTTACAATATACATTAATATAACCAATTTTATACTTTTATATTCCTTCAGGTAAGTACATGTGTGTGATTTTTAAATACATATATAAAGATAACTAACCGAAATATGTTGTTTGATTAAACTGAAAATACATCAATTAAATTTTCTTTCAATTTCAATTAAATTTAAAATGGTACAGTAAAAAATCTTATTTCACATAGCACTAGAGATTTGTTAAATTTACAATAGTCTACAAGTGTTTAGCTTCGTAAAGGAGTGGAGGACCAAATATAAAAGTAAAGAAAATTTGTATGTCTACTGTTCTCGAGAAAGGTCCTTGCAAAAAGTCGCACTCTCAAGGACTGCTGACAAAAGAAACAATATCAAAATTAAAATTCTATAATAATTAAATTTAAATATTTTATAGGCATTCTAAACAATAATAATAGTATTTATATCATATCCATAACTACAAATATATTTTTGCGTATTCCCTTTTTAAGAATAGCTCATGGAAAGCTTTCGGTGACAATGACGCGAGTTTCATAATTTTTGTTCACACAAAAAGCCAACTTAGGCTCAACGTGCCTAATAAAGTTTTCAATTACTCCCATGACTTGACTTTGGCAGAATTCTTTAAAGAGAAGCCATAAAGAATTAAGAAGTTTTCACTTCAAAAAATTTTAATCTGAAAAAATTTGTTACACTTACATTCTCTTTACTATCAATGCCATTTATCATCCCAGGAATGTCATCCTTTGTGTCATTTAAAGCATGTCCTGTAACAGAAAAAATTTAAGGTGATCTGCACAACAAAATTATCTTAATTCCTTATCAAACCTTTCGAAACCCTTCAACAGGTAACCATATAGTCAATATATATTTTTTTATGCGAAAAGTTGTCAAACGAGCGTCGGTTCACCTGATGTTAAGTGAATACCGCCGCCCATGGACATCTGCTACACCCGACGGTTTCCAGATGCGTTGACAACCTTTTGAAAATTGGACTCTGGCTACCTCACTCACCAGACGAAACGCGAAAGTATTTGTCATACTTCCACTTTACGCTGGTCTTCTGTGAGCGGTATGGTTATATCTTAAACATTTATAATATATATAAAATTTAATTATGTGTGTTCTCCGTTTTGCATTTTTATGCACTCATGACTCATCCAATTAAGTTGAAATACTATCCAGGTATTGTCAGAATGTTATGAAAATTTAATTAAGACAAAATAAATGGCATGCAATTTGAATTATATATTTATACAGTTAGGCATTTTTGATCTGGTTGAGATTTTGACACATATGAGCACTTATGAGATTATTTGTATTGCAAACTGATACCAGGCATTAGCTAGTATAACATAAAATTGGATATACCTCAGATATCAACATTTTCAGTTTATTACCATATCATTATATTAACATTAGAAATAACATGCATATAAAATAGAACTCTATAATATACTAGAGATGACATTAAGTGCACCAATTAATCATGGCTTTTGACAGATGAACTTACCACTTAACGCAGTATAGGACATATCTGCAGCATAAGACAAGTTTCCACCATCAACCTGTGATTCAGCTTCACATTCCTCTGTTGTTGCCAGCTGCATTGGCTGTATTAACTCCTCCGGTTCTATTTTAATTTCTAATGTTGCCAATTCATTTTCTCTAGAGTCGTCCATCGCATTGTTATTTGTGTATTCATCTTCCGACATGACCTCTTGCTTAATTTCCACATTCATGACATTTTCATAAATAGTGCCATTGATGTTCTTATGTAATTGAATTGGCTTAGGCCATATTGTTCGGTTACCACAGTCGATTTCCTCCGGCAGAGATGGATACCTTTGTCTAAGAACTCTGTCATTCTTTCGGACAATACATGCAAAATCACATGCACTTTGCAACTTTAAACAGCATGGTTCGCATATGACTTTAGAATATTTGTCAGTTTGTGTTATCTAAAAAGCAAAAAGGAGTCAAAAGTATAGAATAGTAAAATAAATTCAAAAAAGGATCACTTAAAACATTTCTGATTTGGAGCACAATTGAAGTGACAGTTTCAACAGCAAATCAAAAAACAATGTGTTTAAAAAGGTATAGATTTGTCCAAAAAACTAATTGCATAATGATAATCATTTATTCTAGGTAAGAATATTTTTATTTTGTACTCATTCTTCTCAAATGCTAACTCTTATACAATTATGTATTGTTTAGAGTACATTAATACTGATAGAAGATTTAAAAAAGTGCTTATAGTACATTGTTGCTAGTAGTTGTTAAGCCCCTTTTTGTATTTTTGTTATGTCTAAATGTTTTCATTTTCAGTTCGTCATTCCAAATGTTCAAATATGGCAAAATTCTGTAGTTTTTTTTTTTTCAAAAACTATGTCTGCATGTTAAAACTTTGCATGTGTGCTTATAATAATGTATCCTTCCTGTAAAAAAAATATTAACCCCCAACTCAACAGATGTAAATGGAAAATTGAGCCTCCAACCAATTTTTAAGGTTATGTGAATATAATTATTATTTTGAACTAAATAATTTAAATATTTATTTAGCAATTATTTTATCTTCAAATATAATATTGATGAAATAAAAAAAGTCAGGATAATTTCTTTTGGTTTATGATCGGCCGCTTAGCTTGGGCAAAAAAAATTTCGACAATTTATCTAAAAATTCACATCTTAAATTAAAATATTTGAGGGTTAATGAAATTAACCGGTACATGTACCTCAATATTGGCCAGCTTTGCTAAATCCTCAGCTATTGTCGATTCCATTCCATCCCACGGCGGAACCCAACATTGGAACAAATCAACCAAAACAGAGTTAGCATCGAGAGCTTGAAGACATGTTCGACATTCTGCTAATCCGATTTCAGTTGAGAGCAAAGTTTCATCTTGCTTCTCGCTCATCTTTCTTGACCTGATTCACATAATACATTCTAACGTTTTATCATAAATAAAGACATAATAAATAAAAAACCGCATTAGTATGTCATGCATCCAAATGTTGACACTTGAATTATGACACACGTATAGACAAAAAGTCACAATTTTTTAAAATATCACTGCAATTACATATATAATATTTCTTTTTACGTGTCGAGTCTGAGAAAGTTATTATATATAAATTAATAAAACACTGTTGGGTATCCTTCCGCTACATAACAAACGTTTCGTGAATAGATTCCATAAATCGACAAATATGTTATTTTAGAACTGTCAGAACGTAACTATTTAAAGTAGAAGAACGAACCTTATCCATTAAAATATAACTAATTGAACTATCGAGTACACTCGTATAAATGTTATTATACTTTTTAGTAAATTCTAATTAAATAACTTAAGAACTGTTTATCGGCAGCAGAGAAGAATAAGACCGTGGTAAATTTGTCTATGGTTCTCGATACGAATATTAATAAATTAAGTCTTTTCAAGACCTTCATAAACTCAATAAGATTCAAATTTGTAAATTAACACAAAAAAAAAACTTTCAAATATACTACTTACAATATTTCTTTAACACACGTTAATATTGCCTACATACAGAATAGAAATAATTTTCCAAACTTAATTTGCATTATGCCTTCAAAGTCATGTCACAGACAGTATTGCCAACTACTAAAAAAATTCCCCTAAAATCGAGATGAAATAACCCTTAGTGCAATTTTCAAAAGCCACAAAAATGTTTTGGTTACCTTTGATTGCAAATAGTTGAAACAACATAATATTAACTAACATTTGATTACAAAACAACAAAATATTAACAAACATTTCATTAATTACATTTATTAATAAACATTTTCCTTTTTTAACCCCATTTGGTCGGTTAAAATAGTGATGCATGAAATATTATTAAAAGCCGTAAACTTGTTTTGACCCTAAAAAAAGTCCAATATATCACCTTCGGTGGTCACATATTACAAAAACACTTATTTGGAATACAGTAAATCAGTGTCAGTTAATAGAATACCAAATTATATATACACACGTAACGAAACCGTGGTTAGATATACGGAAGAAAACACAGTACAGAAACAACATATTGATAAAAAGTTTCATAAAAAGTACCCGGAGGTTTGTTTTTTTTTTTTTTTTTTTTTTTTTGTAAATCGTGTATTTTGGTAATTACATTTAGATACAAATTACTGAGTAATGAAATATGCATAATATTTTTCGATTTTACCGACGTAATAATAAGAAAATATGAATTGATGTTTTTCACAAAAGAAAGAACTTTAAAAAAAAGGGAAAAAAAATAACAAAAAAACAAATCGACAAAAAATTCAAAATAAAGAAAGCAATGATCTGGAATCGAAAAAAAAGTAAAAAAAATAATGTGTAAATGATCGTGACGCGAACCACGGCCGTCTGTTTTGGGGCCGCTCGATTACGGACCGAGCTATAATGACATTTTCTCTTGCGGCGAAATTTACCGTCATATTCTAACTATATTTTTCATCCCCTGAAAACAGGGATAAAAGAACATTTTCTTAAAGTGAAACCTAGCTAGATCGATTTTTCGCCCCCGAATCTACGCACATACTAAATTTCATAAAAATCGCTGGAGCCGATTTCGAGATTCCGAATATATATATATACACAAGAATTGCTCGTTTAAAGGATAAGATAACAATGTACAAATGCTAACAGCATATTTTGCCGTTTAAAAATATGACATAACAATCAGAGTTATGCTAAACTGGGTGTATTGTTATGATTCGATGCCCTTTTTTAAATAAAAGCGAAGCGTTTAAAAGACGCTTCAATAGAATAAGTTCCTACTTCCATAAGTCTTTTGGTGAATGCCCCGTGTCTCTCCTTCAGCCCCTCAGATGCATCAGAGACGACACCGTTCTAAGTTATAAACGTTTTCGGCGATCCCAGTGACACATTTACGCGGCGGGTTGATAAACATTCAAAAAAATAATTCTTCTGCCAAGACCCAATAACGCGTCGCCGCAGAGACTCGGCAATATAAGCTCGAACGGGTCGGTGACTGAGTTGGCACCATCGGTCTTATCGCGGCACATGCCAGGCACAACGCCTTCGCCAGCGAATGGGAAATTTCTAATATACAGCCTATACACGAATATCTGCATATACCATTCAGCCTTTGAATCGCTTACATAGTGTGGCAAGTGCACTGAATCAGCCGTCCGATTTGCTTCTGAGTGCGGGCCGGACTGAACACCAGTGTCGCAATTGGAACAATTTTAGTTTCTGTATTTCGATTTGTACTCCCGTACATTTTACGGTCTTATGCTGCTCCACAGACTTTCACTGTTTGTTTTTGTTATATTTTCATTTACTTTCATCTGTGTAATATTATGTTATGGTCTGAGTAATTCTAAGTGTATTAAGCATCTATCGTCGTTAGACCGTGAAAAAATATTACCTGAGGCCACCTTTGCGGTGATCTCTGATCTCATATCCCACATCCAAATCGTTGTTGGAGACTCATCGGAGCGCCTAGTGGTAGCCAATAATCTGAGAGCGTCAGATGGCTTTTGCGGAAGAAAAACTCAGCGTGCTTTCAACCGATATCAGACTGACGCAAATTACGTCATTATAGTTCCAAGACGACGAAAAGGCAGAATGGGTCACTGACAGCGCCTAGCTACAATGCCTAGCACGCAATCTACCAGTTCTGTCCAATTGAACCATACGCAAGGTGATAGCCGATATTCCACCAACGGACCTTTCGCTCGAACACGCGTCCATTTGATAAGGATATGTCAATTATTAAAAACCTCATAAATTACTCTGGCCTCGCCCCAAACTATACTCAATCAATAGATTATAATAGCTGGTACGTAGAAGGAAGCGCACGTCCTCGACATCCCTAATCTGAACAACCCATTTGTATTTTGAGAAAATTTATGCACGCATTATCATATTCATCGACATCCCGCATATTTGCACAGGTCGTCACTCCATCTAGTGTGGGGTCGTCCCACACTGTGATGGCCAGTACGAGGCTGCCACTCGAGAACCTTTCTTCGGCAACAGTTATCGGTTCTATGAGCTATATGGCCGGCCCATCGCCATTTCAGCTTGCTAATCCTCTGCTATGTCGGTATGTCGGGAAGTCGATGAATGCAGGTGGCTCAGGATCGTACTTCGTGGCAGTCTATGGGGGAGGCCTTTTTGTCTAAGAATTACGATTCATGAGATGGAGCTTGGTGACAGACAGAGTGTCTGTCTGACAGCGGAGTCTTAGTAATGCGGATCCCCTAAAAATTATGTTCAATCACTAAATTTCATTTTCAAGGAGCACATCGGCTTTAGAGCAAATATTCATGAGTCATTCAGGTGCATCGCCTCACAGAGCACGTACTTTATAATCTTGGTCCTGATAACCCACGAAAGTATAGCGTAAGTAAGTATATACATAGGGCTACTTTAGACGAAGCCTTATCCCGCCCCTATTCTGAAAGCGGTGCCTCAGGGATCGGAATTATCTCCAAACCTATGCTCTCTATACATCTGCAAAATCCCTAGGAATCCTGAGGCCGAGTTGGCACAATATGCAGATGACTCGCCGCCGTCAGACAGTGTGACGTCACCGCAATGCGCGGGCGATTAAGAACCAAACGGGTCGACGACCGTTAACGCACTCGACATATAAATTATAAAAAAAGATAGTTTAGCGTGTTCGCTGACGAATACTAGGTCCTCGATTCGTTGCAAACACCTTATATCCTCGTGTTTTTAACCGCTTTCGTAACGCTTACGTTGTATTGTTACTGTTATTTGGTAGTGGGTCTGAATAGTAACGTTTAATCTTCGTGTAAATAATTACAAAACTTTTTATTTGCCAAAAAATATTGTGCACGAATTTGTTATTCTCATGAATTTTGTTGCTGTCAATGGTATGCCGTAACTAGTTTTCATTAAAAATTGACCTTTAAAAATAATCAAGTCTACTGACAAATGTAACAATTAACTGCACTGATGCACACAAAAATATATATGTTTAGAAAAATTATAAAATATATGTTTTTCTTTAAAAAATGATTTTAATAGATCATAACACACTACCGTTATGATATATAAAAGAAGTTTTTAATATTCATTACCTGTTTTTCGGGCTCTTTTCATTTTCGTCTTTTTGTGCTTTATCATCCTTTACTTTTTTAATGTTTGATTTTTCATTTAAACGGCTAGTTTCATTTTTCAAAGTATCCATTTTGTTCCTCAAGTATCGGTTTTTTCCTTGAAGTCGTTTGATCTTTTTACTTCTGTTAATTAATTCATTTTTCAATTTTATGATTTCCGAAGACGCCAACTAAAATATTTAAGGTCCTTTAGTTTACCCTTAATTGATAAAAATAATATCTAAAAAAAAACATACTTCTTTGATCTGTCCTCGTGTCGAGTTGGGACTTTTTGAAACTGACACATTATCTTTTTTGTTTTTCTTGACGTTTTGCTTCACATCCTGAAATTTAAAGTATTGTAATGGCATATTTTCGTTTTTTCTCTTCCATGAATATAGACTGTAAAATTTACCGGGCAATAACGAGACCGTAGAGTTGGTTTAGCACCTTCAACAAGCATCCTTCTGATGTTGGAAAATAGTTGAAAACTAGCAGCAGTAAAATGATCAGAGCAGATGACACTTCTCCGTGAAGGGATCCAATCATCATTTCTGTTGCAAAATTTGATCCATTCTTTCTTTAAAATGGGATCTCTTGGAAACCTTTAAATAAAAAATATCTAAGGTATAAATAAAACCCCGTAAAAAAAATAGATCGCCATTCAATATTTTTGGTGATTTAGAACAAACGTGGTACAAATGGAATTCTCTACAATCATGTCACCATTTCAGATACAGTTAGACATTTATTTACTTTAGCAAACCGTCGTTACGTTTTTGCGCAATAGAGAAGAAATACATATTTTTGTCTAATAAATAAATTTAATCATCATATTCTGTTTCATTCTTTTTTCATTATTAAATTTGACTCTTCGCCAGAACTCTTGCTATGTCACCCCTGAGTGTCGTGTTTAAATGAATCGTGCCTGAATTTTAATCAATTTTACAATCAATACGAGTATGACGCCGCCCGTTTCCTATATTTATCATGTTGGCAGTGCTGTGTATTCAGTTTTTGACGTCAACTTAATAAAATAGCGGACTTTCTTAGTGAAAATAACAAGTTTTAAATATGTTTTTTTCGCGAAACTATAAACGACCGCAGAATTATGCTTGTTGATTATTTCATTACAGATTTTTCTTTACCGAATAAAATTTTTATTAGGTCATAAAACACACGGCACTGATGGAAAAAAATAACAAAATAAAAAAATTTTATGATACGAGTATGACGTCGCCCTCTTCCTATATTTATCATATTGGCAGGATTGTATATTGAGTCATTGAAGTCAAATTAACAAAATGGCGGTCTTTCTTAGTGAAAATGACAAGTTTTAAATATTTTTTATCGAAACCTATATGCGACTGGAAAATTCTGCTTGTTGATTAATTCATTAGTAACTTTTCTCTATCGTTTAAAATTTATTTTAATTGCTATATGCGCCCGTCAATGTTCTGTACATTTGCCCCATTTTATGTTATCGACAATATTTGGAAATAAAAATCAATTATATTAATAACACTGAATAATAAGCATATCTAACTTTCGCGGAGATAAATCTCTAATGAATTAATCAACAAGCAGAATTCGGCGGTCGCTTATAGTTTTCGAGAAAAAAAATTTATTTTTATTAGATTTTAGTTGGTACTTATGCTGGTTTTTTCTTTTAATATTTTATGGCATCACATGTTGAGTTTCATTATATTATACACATACGATTATTTAAATGGTTAAATCATTATTTTATTTCTCGAAAATCCTCACCGATATTTCACTACCTACTCACCAATGCATACAAAAAAATCCCTATTTTAATGGTAAGCTGTTACAACTAGTATCCCTATACACGCAACAAGCCTACATCTTATCATATTAAACAGTTGACACGAGTGTAAAATACTGTCAAGAATACTGTAAAAATAAAGTTTATGAGGCGACACGACATCTAGACGTATTTATAATCTATGCTACCGATTTGCTTACGCCTTACGCCTTATGCTCTTATTCCATATTCCATACCACTAAATCTCATCTATATTCTAAAATGAGTTTTCTGTTCATCTTTATTGGTGTATATGCAATTTATTTGTATATACATGGCTCTCACGTTTAAGCCCAAAATGTTTGTCTCTTGAATAAAATCGTTAAAGTATTAATAGTTCGATTTGTGTCAAATTATTTTTTTTACATATCAAATAAAAATACTGATTCTCAAATTTTAATATAGTTTTATATAATAATGAACCAATAATGTTCATTTTTGTATGTAAAATAATCTCGCATACAAAACCTCCAAAGAAAGACAACTAAATTGAAATTATATGTTGTTAATATTATTAACTTAACATTTGGGTTTAGCTAGTACACTCGGGTTTTTACAGAAATAATGTTATTTTATCCTACCATTTCACAAAGTACAACACTACAACAGTGTACCATGCAATTCATATCGTTTCGTGACGTAAGAGTAAATAAACAATAAAATGTTTTACACAATTATACTATTTTTTTTTAATTGGAAACACTAACATGTGATACGATACGCTGTGATTTCGTAAATTCGATGACGAAGATCTTCTTTTACACATTTGAACGGCACAATTCACCATTTTCACAGAGCACTTCACAACGATACAATACGACGCCAACTGTTACTGTTCTCCAAACGTCAAATTCACTTCATTTATCATACGCTTATGGTCACTTTGATTCACAGAATCCCTTGTGGCCATGAATTTGTCATAGAGACCTTTTGACTCTTTATTTTCACAGATTGACAACGAATCAAATATCAATGACAAAGTTCTTGCCAGGGCCTGCTTAGGGGAAGAAATAAATATTTCTGATGGCCATAAATGCTATATTTTAGTTTGCCATGTTTCAATTGGTAGAGTTAAAATTGATAATGAATTTGGTTTATTTGTATTACATATGTATTGGTTTATTTATAAAAATACAACTACATCTTAAAAATCATTAGCATTTTTTTATATTGATATCTTCGTTAAATATTTAAACATCTCAATCTCACCGTCTTAATAAAATGAAATGCACGGTGTAGGTGTACAGGAATGAGGTAAACAAGCTGATGTCAAATTGTCACAAGTCACAAATTAAAATTGACAAATGCCGAAAAAAAGCACGTGTATTATTTAGTTATTGAAATTAATATTTGTACAATGGAAGAAAATACTCCAACCGTTAGCTTAATATCGTGTATGCATTTTGTGCACAGAGGTGTTGCAAAATGTGTTCCAGAGAAGGTATTATACAAAATAATATTGTATAATATGGCCTCTGTGTTTCAAATTTTAAACAAACATTTTCTTTCAGATAGAATTAACCGAGAAAGAATTAGAAAAAATAATCAAACAAACTGCTGATGATCTAAGGTAACTATCATTTATACAAAAATCTAACAAAATATTGAATAAAAAAACGGTATGGACCTCCGTTATATAGTACTATAAAATAATTTTGTGTTTTTATATATTATAATTGAGTGATCCTAGCCATAAATTATGCAGTTTGCTTCCTGTATACCTCCAGCGAAATGAAATATATTACTTTGTGCATAAAGTGATTTATCCACCTCAATATTTATTTTCAATAGGTTAACTGAACAGGGAGATGATGAAAGTGATGAGGATGGTACAGTTAATGATAGGCAGCCACCTGTAAATCCTGATGATGAATTCAACTTTGCACAGTATGATGAAGAAGATTCATGTAAGATTTATTGTGTTAATATTGTAACAGTAAATCTAAAAAAACATTTGTTTTTTTCTTAAATAACTATTTACTAGAATAACTATTCTATTGAGTAGAATATTCAGCACTTATCTATCCTTCAAGATCTACCAAGCAAATCTAGCCCCATCGAGAGATGAATTGACAAGTACAAACTTCTTAGGTTGTTTTTCCAAATAAATAATTCAATAATATGCAATATAATTACAGTATTAAATTACTGGCCATGTTAAATTGCATTATTGAGGAGCATTGGAACAAAAACCGATAAATCATATTTTAACAGTTTTTATGTTTAGTTTGGCAGTTTACATACATATCTATTGCCATCTTGTATCAAATCTGTTTAGATATAAATAGACTTTAAAAACTCTCTTAATACACATAACGTAAACTGATAAATCAATCAAATTGTTACGTGATTGGAACATACACCAACAAATCGTTAGAAATCTTCATGGGCCATGCATTGGTTTGGTTGAAAACCGACTAATCCATATCTAAAGATTTATAAGACACTGGGAACTTTTGTTACTAGAAGGATTGTGAGATTTAAAAGAATACATCTCTAAAAACATATAAATCTTAATAACCGATAAATCCATTTTGTTTTTTTAAATATCTCATCACATACTGCACACATATTTGTGATTTGGATATCAAAACAGTGTTGCCAAGACCTATAAACAAGTAAACTTTGTTCCTCTCTAAATTGGAACTCCATAGACATATGTATTATTTTTTAATATTTGGAAAAAATTTAATATGTAATATATTGGTTTTTGCTCCGACACTCCTCAATTATGAAGAGAAAGAGTTATAACAACACATTGTGTAAAGGCATTAATTCTTGAAACATTCTAAGTTAGATTTTGAAATTTAAGTTGTTTTGAATTCCTAATATCATAAGTTTTATAAAAATATTACTTAATAATTTTAATTTTAGCAAACCCAATACGAATTGGTGCCGTGGCGACATTGCCTAATTTGGGGGATCTTGGTGATGATGTACAAATCAGGGTAATTTATTCATCAATTATTACTTTTTCTGACAAATTTTTAAAAAAAATGAATTAAACATAATAGAAAGTTATTTTAATAAATGCAAGGTGATCTTTTGCAACAATCCCAAGTGTATTAACAGGTTTTTCTGGATTACGTTTGTTGGACCATGGTTTTTTAAAACTCCATGAAGGTTTTCTTTGAAGGAGTGCTTGAATTTTAAAAACAAAAAAATTATACTATGTTAGTTCCAAATGGTTCAACATTATCCCATATTTGGAATCCTAAACACAACTTATTGTAATATACTATATAATTACTCTTGGTACAGACTGAAGGACCAGACAGCGATGAAGAGGATGATATAATTAAACCAACTGATAATCTTCTACTTGTTGGCCATGTTGAGAGTGATGCAAGTATTTTGGAAGTGTACAGTAAGTTTTAACTAAAATGATCATTTGAGAATTTAGTCATTCATAAACCTAAAACCAACCTTCAAGTAGGTATAATTATCATATGATTATGTAATATCAATAATTGCCTTTCTAAAATTAGTATGTAATAATATTTAAAAATTATAATCTAGAAATAATTAGAATTTCACCTGATTTGAATGACTGCATAATTAAAGTTATTTATGATTAAAGAGTTTAAACACATACAACACATAGAACACAAAATTTAATAAGTTTATAACAAGTATTGTTTGATAAATGTAATTTTTACAGTATTCAACAAAGAAGAGGGTTCATTTTATGTTCATCATGACATTATACTACCATGGTTTCCACTTTGCATTGAGTGGCTGAGTCATGACCCTACTGATCCCCAACCTGGTAAGAAATGTATGGTATATAATAGGTCTTTGAGATTTTATTTATTGCAGAATATATTAACAAACATAATTTAGATTTCTTGTTGACTCGTCGTAAAATAACTAGCCAAAAACACTTAAAACATAATTCTTCTGCTGACCTAAGGTGGGATAAGGGTAGGAACATGATGACGAATTTAGATGTCTTGTGACCTAATAATTATCTGACCAGAACAAATAAAAAAAAGCATTTTTTATTTATACATACTTTTGATGTATCCCAAAAAAGTATTTTCTACCTCTCTAGCATTTTTATGAGTTCAAAATTAAGTTTAATGATATAAATTTCTGTTACTCATTGTCATTACATTTTTGTGTATAAAGATACAAATAACCGTTAGTGTATCTCTTTGTGTAAGATGCCATATGTGTCTTGTCAAGGTGATGGTCTGTATCAATCCGAAGATAAAGAGAATCTATCAGCACAAGAAATCACCACTTATGAAGCTAGCTCATAAAGTCCAATAAGCCATTTTAATGTATTTACTTGACCTTTACACACAATGTTTATCATACCATGTTTGGAATACCAGGCAACTTATGTGCACTGGGTGGAATGGATCCAGTGATACAAGTTTGGGATTTGGACATTGAGAACTGCCTAGAGCCCGCTTTCAAGCTTGGCAAGAAACCTAACAAGAAGAAGAAAACAAAACGTGTCGGGCACAAGGATGCTGTGCTAGATCTATCCTGGAACAGGAATTTCACGTAAGTTGCATTAATAATTTATTTTTCTTTTATTTGCAGGTACTGTTAACATTGATTAGCAGGTGAATCTTCGATTTAACAGAGAGATTCTGGTATGTTTTACTCCAACAACACAACAAAACCTGTAATTCCCCCATCTTAATTAATATGATTAATTTTGCCATCTAGCCCCAATGAAACAATTGAGTATTTGGAATTTACCCAGAGGACGCCTTTTTTGAATCCTTACAGTTTTCACAGATAAGGGCTAAAAATAGAAAATGACAATCTTTAACTTCAATTTATAATAGCTAAGGCGACACCTCTCATTTAAATATTAATTGATTGCTAACTGGGAGAAATAAATATGTATTGTGCTTGATTACTCGGAAAGCGCGGGCTCAAATCCTACATTTATTTATTTTATATTTCTCTATTATACAACATCTTCATGTTTGGCAGTCCACCACTGTGTGCTTTTCGTAAAATGTCCCATCATGCATGACCACTTTGTGAAAACAATTATGGCCAGCGGTATTTTCGAAGTAATACCTCATGGGGCTTAGACCCTTGCTTTTTTGCCATAAAAAAGTGGCCTGTAACATTGATGATATAACTGAACTGTAGTTAATAAATGTAATATTTGAATGTTTTAAGATTAAGCACCAGGATCATTGGCACAGTCGAAAATTAGTATAGTCCTTACAGATAGATTATAAGCCTCATAATCAGCAATAATTATAAGTATTCATACATTTACACATTATGAGTCAACTAGGTTATAAAGGGCACACTCAGTGTTTACCAATACTGCCACATTTCTGATGCCATTCAAGTCATCACTTAACATATCAGCTTCCCTTGAAAAAATCCTCACTACTAGTCTGGTAGATTCCATTGAAGATACATTAATTTTGCAGGCACGTGCTGGCGAGTGGCTCTGCCGACAGCACTGTATTGTTGTGGGATATGGATCAAGGAACGCCACATACAAAACTTGACTGTTTTGGTGACAAGGTGAGTCACTATTAATTGGTCCATACAAGACCTCTGAGATAAACATAGTGATAGCTCTATCCTAATCGCCCAACTTTTATTAAACTGACAAGTACTAAGTCCGTTCAGGTACAGATGAGAATCCTCAACCATGAGAAACCTCAAAATTTACGATTTATACTATAATCACACAAAATATGTACAGATGCGGACTTATCGCCATTAGCATTATCTACCAGTCAACCTTTCAATTCTACCAGACATGTAGATATCTCTTTTATTATAACCACATAGTCATATATACGTGGACAAATTGTATCATGTAATAATATGAGTTGTTGGAATGGAAACCAATAGTATTACAGTTGTAATGAGGTCTCAGGGGAAGTCACGATGGAGACCGACCCGAATGTGCCTGACGTGACAGCGGGGTAGCAATTGATAGCGATGTTTACTGTCTGTTTCAAGTCATATTTCCACAGTAGTGGATGAACAGAAATGTATTTATTTACAAAATAAAAGCATGATTAAGTATGTTTATCACTCAACTAGTACCCATTGTACAATCATTGCTTAGTTTGGGACTAGAGAATGTTGTGTTAAATTGACTCCTAAATCCTTATTTATTTACAATACATCTCAGTCGCAGCGGTTGGCTTACCACTCGAGCCCTTCAACAAAAATCACATACGTGTAGTATACACAAGCTGAAGAGCCGTTCACGCCTAGGTCCAGTCGCTGAGCTTCCACCCGCTGGAGGCGCAGACGCTGCTGGCCGGCGCGTGTGACGGCGCCGCCCGCGTGTTCGACTGCCGCGCGCACGAGACGCACCGCGAGTGGCGCCTCGCTGCGGAGATTGAGTGCGTCTCCTGGGACAGCCACAATCCGTTCTGCTTCGCGGTGAGGTCATCGTTTCACTGTCGTGATTTTTCATAAATGATCTACCACGAGTTTAACATGTACCAACTTAATACATAGATGAGCAACAACGAGGGGAAGGTCGCGTACGTGGACTGCAGACGAGATGAACCCTTGTGGACTATAGACGCGCACGAGAAAGAAGTCACCGGTAGGTTAAAATAAGTTGGGAAGCACGTTGGTACGATTTATGGGTTTTTTTTTTTTTGGTACTAGTCTATGCACTCAAGATGAAATAACCACCAAGATGAATTTACCACTTCGTAATGCGTCCAGATGCGACAGCGCCGAAAGTTTTTGATCAAAATTTATGAACAAAAAAAAAACATATGAAACATCAGCTGATGGTGATGGCTGATAAGGGCCTACCTCGACTATATATATGAGTTTTATAATTGCAGGGCTTATCCTAAGCGAGCAGGTTTCTGGTCTCATGATAACGGTCAGCACCGACGGCAGAATGAAAACTTGGGACATAACTAGGTATGTGTGTTGTCATATTTTTATTTCCAAAAAGTTGTGTTGTTGTTCTATTGACTTTTCTTCAGACATAGAGACTGAGACTGCAATATAGGCCATGTGTTACCGGAAAGTAAAAGTAATATTTACGCAGTCAGTAACTGAAAAGAGTAATTGGAGTAAATACCATTATGTACGTCATGACCTTTGTTGGAATTTCGAATTGAATATTCATCAGAATTTTGACAAACTAGTGTCTCCATACTGGTAGCATTAATTATCGAGAAAAATCTGTTGATCAACAACTAACTTAAAAGGATCACCCACTGACCAGTTATTTGCTGAAAACTTCATCAAAATTGGTCAAATAGTTTTACGAGCATACATATACACCAATGTTTATATACCTATGATATTGTAATGAATTTTGTGTGGAAGTTGTTATGTTGTAAGTACCAAGGATTATCGAGACCTAGAAAAATCAGTTGAAGTCTTCCCTTTGAAAACATTGCCCCCTTACTGTAGGACAACTTTATCACATTGTGCTATAAGGGTATACATAAATAAATCAGACGAGGGCAAACACCCAGATCCGAAACAATTATATGTGGGTCACACAAATAGTTGTCTCGTGTGGGAATCGAATCCACGGACCCCCGTCGCCTTAGATATATTTATTAACCATATAGAATTTAGTCATAATCTTTGTCGAACAGCGCGGGCGCATCCCAAGTGAGCGAGCGCTCGAACAAAACTGGCCAAAGCCTCTGCGCGGCTGCCTGTCCTGAGGCGCCGCTCTCGGTAGCGGTGGGAGGGGACAACAAGCAGTGCCACATCGAGATGGTTGACCTCACGGCCAGTGAACAAGGTAAGGTCCTTTGTGGGCTATTTCCTGATGTTATGTATGTTTCTAAGCAAAGTTTGGCTTATAGGTCTCGTTAACAGGTTATAAAATATTTAAAACGAAAAAATTCGAACGAGAGTTGTCGCCATTATCGTTGTAAAACGATATTCGAAATTGTTTGTATGCTGGAAAGGATATAACAATAGATGCGCCAAGCATTGCTTCAAATGCTAAATAATGTTACGTGTTAGGGGTTCGAAGGATTTGGAGAGAAAGACCTGCTGACTCTTTTGAAGTCTTTATTCACTAGAACTAGGTCCAACACAAAGCACTAGGTCCAAACACTAAGCACTAACGATGTCCTATTTTGTAGCCAAGTCGTAGATTTCACTGGTATCGCTCTTGATCACTAGTTTTCGCTCCGAAGTCGCCTCGAAGGTAGCTCAAACTGAACTGTGTTCGCTCGCCTCCCTGCGGCTTTTTATATGGGCCGAGACCGGTTCCGGACTAATCCAGAAAGATCCTTCCTGGAACGTACCCGACACACACGAACATGTTCGTGATTCCGGAAAGTTCGCGAATGTACCCGGTTTTCGAGACTATATTTCCACAGCAGTTCCTCTGACGCCATCTAGTGTTGAATAGGGGTTTTATGTCGTCTGTTCTTTAGTGGTTTTAATAGTTGACGCTAGATGGCGTTAGTTCCTTTGTGTGTTCATAACAATAACAATGTAGAAGGAAGGCGTTAAGATTTTCATCGCTGTGGCTATCAGCCGTTTAGCTCAGTGGCTAAAGCGTCAGGTCGCGAATGCCGAAGACGTGGGTTCGATTCCCACAGCGGCGACAATGTTTTCGTACTTTTTCTACATGTTTTAATATCTAAAGGATTTTAATTTTATCTCTCTTTTCGTCTGTCATTGTCTTTCAGTCTTAATTTTTTTGTATTTCAGTAATGAATCGGTTTGGAACACGGCTGCCGGTTGCTACACTCCTAGAGACAAATGAAGCTATGGACACATAGGTGTGAACATTATTATATTTTCTTAAATAAATTATGTATATAATTTGTCTATTGTATTTTCATTTATTCCAACTCCGAGCTTTTGAATCTCATTGTCATTGCATCATATCTCAAATTTTGATGTCAACATTGAGATTATTAAAATAAAAGATAAAATATCTTAACTAGCTATTTCCTTGGTTCTTACCTTCTTTTATCGTTTTTTAATTATAAAAATAAATATAAGAATATTTTTCATTTGGAAATTTGATATTCAAATGTTATAATTGGCAACTGTTATTTGATTTTTAGTATAAAATTTGGTCCTACAATTAACGTAATAATAGTCCAATGGGAAACTATAACATTAATTTACGTAAAATGATCCAAACAGACTAAAACTAGTTTTAAGAATATAGCAACGATAAAATGTATGTTGTACATGTCCTTTAATATTTTCTATGAAAAATTTGACAAGCAAGCAGATGGTTCACCTGATGTTACCTGATTACCACCGCCCATGGAAGTCTACAATGCCTGATGGGTTGTAGTGGCATCATTAAAAAGGTGGGCCCGGTGATCTTACTCACAAGATGAAACGTGAAAGTATATGATTCCAGTTCACGCCTGTCTTTGGTTACAATGGATGAGTCTTTATTTAATTCGGCGAAGTTGTATCTTTAAAACACGAATATCGGTTTTACAACCAAACCATCAGTTTGATGACGACATCCTTACAGCTTTTGACTCCACACAATGGGGCAACTGCTATTTGATTTTTGTGTGTAACAATGACAATTAAATAAACAAACATATTGTGTAATAAAATAATAAAACTACAATGGATTTAATATTAAATTATTGAAACTGATTCATTATGAATCATATTTTATTTTCCCTCTTCATACAGAATCTAAATTGTTTTGAGTAAAAGTACCCTTACCCTTAAATACTTCTTGCAGGTAAAAAATTTATCCAAAGGAACCAACACCGAATTCTAAAATAACATTACCATATGCAGTCCAAGGGTTGCCATGAATAAAAGCTCACAATTTAGGCCATGTGCTGAAAAGAAATTTGCAGTGTTTACAAAAATTATAATGAGAAATAAAACAAAAATTTGTAACAATTGATAATAATATGTATTTAAAAATCTCATAGAAATTTCTTGATCTAAATAAAAATATATTGTAGAAACTAAATGCTATCTGTGTGTTCACTTATAGGCGCTTTACATTTACTTTGGATCTTAATATGTTTAGCCCCCAAAAGCCTTTAATACTAAGAAGTATCATAAAAAACAATATATAGTAAACATATGTTATATACATAAGATATTTTTGTTAATTTCGAAATTTATTTGCACATATAATGCAAAAATTTTTCAAGACTTAAAAAAAAACTTGTACAAATCTTAAATCATAGAAAATATTTTATCACAATAAGTTTATTATTGCTTATCACGTTTACATAGCAATTTTGGGTACACAACAACAAAAAAATTATTCAGCTAACATATCTATACAATTTTCTAAAAACTCCATACTACTTTTGTTATACCAATTTACAAACTTGGACCTTTTGTTCACACAGCTTTTGTTCTGATGAAAGATACTCAAATATTTTGTTTAGTAACATATAATATTGTTTTAGTATGCGCTACCAATAAATACATTAATCTCTAAGGTATAAAAAGCTTTTGATAGTTACTTTCTAAATTAGGTCGGTTGCAAGAGCGATTTGGTTAAGCTGACTCAGTTGTTCATAATTAAAATCAATGATTATTTACTATTTCTAACTTCCTCTTAACATAAGCGAGTACTTTAGTCTAATACACCTAAGGAAACTATTGATACTGTGAGCATAGAGCCATTCATTTTATGGCCTCACTGATTTTCACCAATGTTTTCAACTCATTTCTTTGTTTACTCCAAATCGTAAATCAAACTTTAAACAAAAAGGGACACAAAAAATAAGCTTTGCAGCGAACATGTTAATGCAAACCTACAAAATTAATAACATTCTTAAAAACTTTCAACCTGTTGACAGAAAAATATTTTGTAAAACCATTGGTGGCTCTGCAAATTATGTCACTTACGTTAGTGTTACAATATATAATAAAAACAATAACTATTGGAACCCAAACCGCTCAAGCAATCGAGACAGAACAAAAAATGCTCATTACTGTTCAGCGGGGAACTTGGTGACAGCATCGTGGATCGCCTTGGCCACGTACTCCACGTTGCCGGGGTTGAGGCCGCAGATGTTGATGCGGCCGGTGCGCAGCAGGTAGATGTGGTACTCCTGGATCAGGTACTCGCTCTGGCGCTGCGTCAGCCCAGTGTAGGAAAACAGCCCGATCTGCTTCACAATGTGGTCCCAGTTGCCCGGTGTCCCATTCCTGCGGAGTAGGAATTGCATCGGTGCATGTAGACTCTCTAAGGCAATAAATCCGTAAATACAGTATGATATTTTCATATGAGATAATATCATTTATTTACTTGTATATCTCGCAGGAATATTTCAATGATTTGAACAAGTCATGTTAAAGTACTCACTTGACTAGTTCAGATCTTAAGGCCTCTCTCATTTGAATGACCCTCGATGACATCTCCTTAATGTGACTTCTCCTGTAACAATGATTTTTCAATGACGCATGGTGTCGGTCACACAAAAAATGAAGTTTTGACTGTAACCATGAAATTCGTGAAGAATACACCATAGGAAACATTTGTTTTCTTGTTTAGAAATATTAACCCCATAATTTTTATAATAAATTATTAGCACCTTTTTTAACCAGAGTCGTTAACTGTTAGCAGTCTGCATTAGGTAAGACAATAATGCCACATGAAAACTTAAAGGAAAACTTAAAAAACTTGAAGGTGTTGGAGAAGTACAAGCGGGCCTAAGGGGAGGAGGAAAGACGGAGCAACACCCTCTATTGGCATCTCGTTTCAAAAGTTGTCTTAATCGCTTCCTCTCCTGCTTTGTGGTACGGCTACGCAACAGTGTTCTCTGTTGCACGAAGTGAAGAATGTGACCTACGGATTTTGCAACCCTACAGCTGTTGCAAATGTTGGTGGGCATCGGATATCACTTAACATAAAGTGACAAAACGATGCAGCGCAATATGCCAACCCGTGCCCCCCCCCCCCCCCCATCCCACATTACTACATTCCATGGTGTTAGCGTAGCGGAGCGCGGCCAAGCCCTCCCCCCACCACACCTCGCGAGGGTTTTAGAAATCGAGGGGTCGGCCGAAGGCAGTACCGACGGCACCTCACCCCTCTCCCCCGCACGCTTCGTTCGCATAGGAGGAGCGCGGCCTAATGCAGCACCGCCCCCCTCCCCCACCACGCGTCGTCATCACGGGACGACAAACGGAGCGCGTCACTCACCACTCGTCGAAGAGGCGCGCGTCTGATAGCACGGTGGCGACGAGGCGAGCGCCGTGCGCCGGCGGGTTGGAGTACATCCCGCGCACCACCCACGTGAGCTGCGACTTGGCCGGCGCCACGCAACGGGCGTCGGACATCACGACCGCCAGGTTGCCCACGCGCTCGTCTGCAGACGGACAGGTTGGTTACTGGCGCGATGGGGCTAACGGGGAAGAATCGGGCTAAAGGAAGTCCGTAGGTATGACACAGGCTAATGAAACTCCGTAGGTATGACACAGGCTAATGAAACTCCGTAGGTATGACACAGGCTAATGAAACTCCGTAGGAATGAAACAGGCTAATGAAACTCCGTAGGTATGACACAGGCTAAAGAAACTCCGTAGGAATGAAACAGGCTAATGAAACTCCGTAAGTATGACACAGGCTAAAGAAACTCCGTAGGAATGAAACAGGCTAATGAAACTCCGTAGGTATGACACAGGCTAAAGAAACTCCGTAGGAATGAAACAGGCTAATGAAACTCCGTAAGTATGACACAGGCTAAAGAAACTCCGTAGGAATGAAACAGGCTAATGAAACTCCGTAGGTATGACACAGGCTAAAGAAACTCCGTAGGAATGAAACAGGCTAATGAAACTCCGTAGGTATGACACAGGCTAAAGAATCTCCGTAGGAATGACACAGGCTAATGAAACTCCGTAGGTATGACACAGGCTAAAGAAACTCAGTAGGAATGAAACAGGCTAATGAAACTCAGGTATGACACAGGCTAAAGAAACTCAGTAGGAAATGAAACAGGCTAATGAAACTCCGTAGGTATGACACAGGCTAAAGAAACTCCGTAGGAATGAAACTCCGTAGGTATGACACAGGCTAAAGAAACTCCGTAGGAATGAAACAGGCTAATGAAACTCCGTAGGTATGACACAGGCTAAAGAAACTCCGTAGGAATGAAACAGGCTAATGAAACTCCGTAAGTATGACACAGGCTAAAGAAACTCCGTAGGAATGAAACAGGCTAATGAAACTCCGTAGGTATGACACAGGCTAAAGAAACTCCGTAGGAATGAAACAGGCTAATGAAACTCCGTAAGTATGACACAGGCTAAAGAAACTCCGTAGGAATGAAACAGGCTAATGAAACTCCGTAGGTATGACACAGGCTAAAGAAACTCCGTAGGAATGAAACAGGCTAATGAAACTCCGTAGGTATGACACAGGCTAAAGAATCTCCGTAGGAATGACACAGGCTAATGAAACTCCGTAGGTATGACACACGGCTAAAGAAACTCAGTAGGAATGAAACAGGCTAATGAAACTCTGTAGGTATGACACAGGCTAAAGAAACTCAGTAGGAAATGAAACAGGCTAATGAAACTCCGTAGGTATGACACAGGCTAAAGAAACTCCGTAGGAATGAAACTCCGTAGGTATGACACAGGCTAAAGAAACTCCGTAGGAATGAAACAGGCTAATGAAACTCCGTAGGTATGACACAGGCTAAAGAAACTCCGTAGGAATGAAATCTTTTTTGGTATTTTTTTTCCTTTTGAAATAGCTTTGGAGCGGTCAACTCATTTTAGGGCTACCTCACTAAACAGACGAAACGCAGGAGTATAACACTACCACATCACGCCGGTCTTCTGTGAGGTCGCGGTACTTAACCAGACGGACCTGCCCATTCGTGCAACAGCGAACACTAGCGCCCTCACCACAGTAGAAACTCGCTCGCATGAAACCAAGCTAGTCTTCGTTACACGGCTGCCATTGAAAAAGCGCACGTATGCCACTCACTGTAAAGTCCAAAGTTCTTCGCGTACGACTGGGCGCACACCAGCTCGAAGCCGCGCTCCACGAAGTACCGCACCGCCCACGCGTCTCGGTCCAGGTCGCCCGACGCGAACCCTTGGTACGCGCTGTCGAAGAACGGGAACAGCTTGCGCTCCTGCCAAAGACGAGGGTAATGAGTTGCAATGAAGGCTCCCGGTGGAGTTGGTGGCGCAGTTGATAAATGTATAATAAATATTTCGGGACATATTTTTACACGTCGTTATAATTTAAAGTAACAGTCTATACACATCCCACTGCTGGGCTAAGGTCTCCTCTTTTACAGGGTATCAGGGCATAGTCCACCACGCGGCCCCAATGCGGGTTGGCGAATTTCACATATCTTCTAAATATTATTTTTTTTTTGTTAATATTTCGAAAATATGCAGGTTTCCTCACGATGTTTCTCTTCACCGTCGAGCACGTGATAAAGTCAGCACTTAAAATTAGCAATTTCATTGGTGCCCGCCACCGGGAATCGAACTCGGGTTGCTCGAGTATATTGAATCAAAGGCGAGCGCCCGGACACTGAGCTATCACGGCTATAATCTATATATATATAAAAATTTCGTGTCACGATATATTGTTCGCGATAAACTCCAAAACTACTGAATAATTTTTTATCAAATTTTGTAAGCATTTGTAATTTGGTCCAACTTGGGAGATAGGGTAGTTTTTATCTCAATTATTGATCTCAATGATTGATATTTGTTATTGCAAAGTATTTGTTTATTAGATGACAAAGAGCTATCTGTGAGTCCCATAAGATTCTAAAACATGGCGGTGTAAGATAAATTTATCGGCTGGATCGAGGAAGTATCCGATAGATGGCGCTAAGCCAAAAGTAAACACTTATGGACCCGGTAGAATTGGCGCAGACGAAGTTGCGCGGGCCAGCTAGTTAATGTGTATAGATACGCGAAAACTCTCACCTCCATGACGTCGGCTATCTTCTCCCACTGCTCGTGGGTGGGGTCGATGCCGGTGGGGTTGTGGGCGCACGCGTGCAGCAGGATCACGGAGTTCTCGGGCGCGTTCTTGAGGTCCTCGATGAGACCCTCGAAGTCGATCGCGCGCGTCTTCGGGTCCCAGTAGCGGTAAGTGCGCGGCTGCGTGAAGCCGGAGTTGACGAACACGAGGTGATGATTCTCTGCCCGTTCGAGAATATTCGTTGAAAAAGCGACTGCGACCCTATCCGTACTAAAATGGCCTTTAGTGGCTGGATCTCGATTTTTGTTTGATTAGATATGAAACGAGTTATCTGTGGGTAGCAGCAAACAGTCCAGTTGTCCTGTGCGGGAGTCGAACCCACGACCACCGGCGACTAAGCCAACACTTTGGCAACTGCGCCACGTGTCTTTTTTTCAGTATCACAAATTCAGAGACCAAGAGTGAACCATTGTAGGTAATTTAGAAAAAATAAAATGTCAACTGTATATTTGTTAATGACACTACAGGTCTTGCAACTCTTTACTTGTGTATAACGTGTGTAATGTGTGTAATTTACAATGACGAGACAACACGAATTGCTTCTGCAAATATAAATGTAACAGCAAAGAAGTACATTACACGCTGTACGAATTTGAAATTGACGTTGATGAATCCCCCTCGATCGCCGCGACATCTAGGTTTCCGTCAACTTCTTCCCTTCTTTTGGGGTGTCTGTTGCAAGACCTGTATGAGTCCGTGGCCAACTAGGAGTCGCAACTAGCACCTACCCCACGTCGGGCTGGAGTAATAGAAGGTCGTGTACTTGAGGTGTTTGTTCAGAAACTCAGCGCCCACTCGGAGACCCCCCGTGCCCGACAGCGTTTGGACTCCGAACGCCTTAAACATATAAGGACTCATTTATTGTAGAAAAAAACGTGTTTGTGTACTTACATGCGCACGTAAGAAGTTATACTACTTTAGCGTAACAAAAGAAAAATAAAAAAAATATCCAGTGTGCATTGATAACGGTTATATATAGTTAAGTGTAAAAAAAGTTGTTATCGGTTGCCATAGTAACACCATGAAGTTGGTATGGTTTTTAGGTGTCGCGCATCGTAAAATAAGTAAATTAAGTATGAAAAGTATAATAACTTCAAAATATGCAATAACTTCACCGACGCAACACACCCAGCGCAACGGCACCTGCGTGTAAAGTCACAACAAAATATAGTTATGTCTACCACGCAATAGCTTCTGTTGCATGAATTACATAGCCGTCTAGCGATGAACCGCATCCTCACAGAACAACGGAGTGTGGATTAAATTTTATACTTTCGCGTTCCGTCTTGTTCGGAATCCCACCGGAACCAAATTCTTTGAAAGTTTGTAAAGCATCTGTATAGGAGTTGTTGCCCATAGGCGCCGGCTGTCACTCAACAGAATTCTATAAAAAAAACACCTTTGAAGACGGTTTCATAGTCAAAATGTACAATATTTTTAAAAACATTACAGATAGTGACAAACTGATAAAGAGCTAAAAACTGCTACTATTATCGGATCCATTGTGTACTACTCATAGACATTTGTTTGTAGATGAAATCTGAATGTAGCTCAGGAACATAAGGACTCGTTATATGAACATTTATTTTTAAATCATCCCATTACCCTTAGTGTTTATTTTTTTAATACTAATCTATTTCACCAAAGTAAGCGAAATTATTGATTTATTACAAATATTACAAACAAATGTTCATTTCTTTTAAATATAAAACTCACCCGACCCTCCGCTATGACAGGGTTGTCTTCGCCGAGAAGCATCGATACTGACGCAGCCGAGAACTGCTCCAAGCCTGCATAGAACGCACTATATGTTACAATTTTTAACTAGTCGCTTTACTATTCTGAAGTTATTGCTGTTCAGCATCGACCCCACATGGTACCACGTATATTATTCCTTGTATGTTATATTGTTATATTATGTATATCTTATAACCTATTCAAAATTTAATCACCAAATTCATATAGACGTTGTGAGGCGACAGATTGTTTTTTGTGAGAAGGTGGCTAGCGAGCTGGCGGTTCACCTGGTGTTAAGTGATAACCGCCGCCAATTGATCACCTGTAAGGTTGCAGATGCGCTGTCACCTTTCAATAAATTGGGCACCCGCCATCTCGCTCACCAGCCTAAACGCAGAAGTATAACGCTTCCACTTCCCGCCGGTTACTTCTCTATCATTCGGGCTCATGGTGAAAGGCGACAAGGTCATCACAAATAAGTTCTTATTACGGAAAACCTTTTTGTGCGATTGTTTGTATGTCTTCAGGGCTGATTCGATCCACAATTCGGTGCACTACAATTTTTTTTTTATTTTTAAGTTGTCGAATTTAATCGTGTGTACAGGACAACGTCTGTTCCACTTGTAGATATATAAAACTTTATTGAGCACACAGCTCGTGGGACAGATCCCGGTGTTACTGCTGCATCCAGGCCCAAATTCCTTGAATTCGCTTTTTTCAAGACTTAACGAGAAATTCAGGTTAGATTAATATAATTTAACAGTTCCTCGTTCTCTCCGAATTATTATTCCCAACTCCGACTTTTAATCGGCGAAGACATGCAGTACACGACCTTGGCAATATGCCGCTAGAATTGTAGATTCATTTTTCTAAACTCGCTCTACGAGTAATTTATATGGTTCTTAGCGATAGCGTACTGAATTAAATATGAAAAGTCTGAGACGGTAAAAAAAAACGAATTTATAACGTTATAGGTTGACAATATAGTTTCTCACGCTTTACAATCGAACGTTTAGGTGAAAGGACCATTAACAAAAAAAATTGTTTAAAGTTTTTAAAATAACCTCTTCTTTGCGCGTACATCGAAATAAATTTAGTGTACATTTTATAATCGAACGTGTTCCGACTACGATAAATCGGACGATAAGATTGCGACTGTGTTAAACCACATAATATGCGGAAATTTCAATTTAAAATAATTTTAATTATTCAATGATAATTAGGGAAATAGTAGCAATTTAAGAAAAGATGACGAAAAATGTCAGTAGTTATTTAACTCTGTTTTGATACATGGTTTTAGAATATTTTAATAACAAAACTTTGATAAACTATGGTTCGGTTGGTTGCTGCCAGCTAAAACAAATATAATTTTTTTAAAGTACAGGTACATCGTTCTAGGGGAAGAACGTGTTATGCACGAGACCTCTAAGTATAATAATTAATCTAAGTACAGTAATTTTTGATAAAGTCTAAAAAAAAAATTATTCTCCAGCGGCCGGACTCGCTTGTATCCGGGTCAGATTTTCAGGACCACACATTTCACCTATTTACTTTTGTGAAAAAAAATAAACATCAAAATTAGCCCTTTCAAATAGACAAAACACATTTGCTAATTGAAAGTTATTCATACCACTTATGAGCTTCTTTCTCTGAGATTTTTGTAAATTTTATGAAATATATTAAATGGAATTTCGGCCACTTCTATGTATATTTATTAACCTCTCAGTTCTTTTCAATATTAAAATGATATCTACATATAGCGAGCTTTGATAACTGCTATTTTATTACGATAGCAGGGATTATCGAATTATTTACCGTAAACACATTATGAACTCTGTCGTTTTGGTAGTAATAGAGAAGACATCGACAGAAAATAGAGCGATAAAATGGCGCGAAAACGATTTTGCAACACATTTGAAATTCAATACAAAATTTGCATTTTTATCAAAGTTTTTGGTAATTGTCAGTATCTTTTCTGCCATTCGTTCCTTGTAGAAATGTTCACTAACAACGAGTTGAAAAATATATCTGAATAAAAAACAAACATATGCGTGTATGTACGTTCCCTATAAATAATTTCAAGAAGGCAACGACTTTGATTTTAAATTTATAAGCAATCTTTAGATTAGCCCAGTGGGTGAAGGTTGCTGAAAAAATCGGTTGACCGTATAACTGATCAACACATATTTTTGGATAAACGTGCCGTCCATGCCCAACCACAGCGGGTTACGACCCGCAATTTGTGCAGCATGAATTATTCGTAATACGTAGATACCGTACATGCAAACCGCACCTTCAGTAATTATTAGCATAACTATCAGAGAAGGGGCACACGAGCATTTAATTCGCAAGGTCTCTGACTGAACACAATACAGACGATATGTATAGCTGTGAGCGTAACTTTAATAATCGCTTTAAAAACGAGTCTGCATTTTCAATTTAAATTTGTTAATTTGAAGGCACGAAACTGCATATCTATTTCGTTCATAAAAAAATAATGAAACAGCGTTTGCGTTTTTTTTAATGTAAGAAGATGGCAAGCGAGCTGGCGGTTCCTAACCTGATGTCTAGTGATGACCGCCGCCCAATGACATTTATTACACTAGTAGGATTGCAGATGTGTTGCCAGCTTTAAATAAAGTGCCGATTTACCCTTTGGGTACGGAACCCTTAAAAAGCTTTGCATACCCTGTCATCCCATACAAACATGCCCAAAAACACAATTATATTATACTAGCGACCCCGCCCAGGCTTCGTACTGGTGCAACGCTGAATGTTTGTTTTCGACATCGCACTAGAAACCTCTAAAATTATCAATGTTTCTCTACTACATTATTCATGTTATAAACCTTCCTCTTGAATCACTCTATCTATTAAAGTAAACCGAATCAAAATCCATTGCGTAGTTCTAAGTACATCTAAGCATATATAGGGACAGGACAGATAGACAGCAGGACGACTTTGTTTTATACTATGTAGTGATTTATCATTTATAGATGTTAATTGTTAATGATAACTACTTTAACTCTCGGCTTTCCGTGTTTATTTAATTTCAAGTGTAATCATAGGTAAGTTTTTAGTGCGTACCCTGTATGAAATCTCTGTACGACACTGAGTTAATGTATACTGTGTATTTACTGTGTATAGTCGATTATGTTTTTTGTAAATAAAAATGTTTCACTTGTACCTAAATTTTTTAAAGTAAAACTTGATGCATAGTTAAAACGTAGCTAATATTTAAGCGTCATTTCAAATGAAAAGCGTATTAATTTATAATAAATGCGGGAAACAATTTAAAATAATAAACAGAATAAATGATACCAGATGAATATTTTTAAATGGACGTACCTATCTTATTCAAAAAAAATTACGTAAATGTAAATATTTGTAACCTTGAAATGTTATCGTTTCTGTTTCTCATCTTCAATAATATTTGGCACGCGTAAACAAATATGTGTTTAAATGAATAATGACGCAATTGCGGTTAAGCTTTCTTTTTCTATTAAAACTACATAATCGGATTTGTAACGAGGGAAAAAAAATAATGTTAGCTGTAAAAATTGAAGGAAATGCCATAAAAATAATACAATAAAGACCATTAGTAACCATGACGAAGAATAAAATTGTTGATAATGCCTCGTTTTTCGAAATCAAAGGATTAGTACATGTACCTATATTTTGAAAAAGATGAAAATATTTAAAACAGGGTTGTACCTAATGTTAGAAAAATACCCATTAGTAACAAAAAAGTCAACAAATGTAATAATCATTTCCCTCCGACCATAAAACAAAAAATAGATTTACTATGAAAATAATATTGCTGTTTCTGATTAGCGTCGTTCTAAGATAATCTTTGAGCGTCACGCAACATACAATTAATATGCGCCTTTACCCACTACAATAGGGTTCAGTTTTGATAGGCGTAAAGTAATGCCCGTTGCACACGAGGCATGTTGACTTGCCTCATTGTTTACTGTGACCTCTGCTGGCAACAACGCTGGCTGGATAGAAAATTACGTCACAGTGGGCTTTGTAGAATGCTAGATTTATGGAGAGCACGGCGCTTATTTCGGCGATAGATTTGCTGCTCGACTCGAATGAGAGCCAATAAGAAAGCAGTGTTTTATGACGTCAAACGTCATAAAACACTGCTTTGTGCATATTACACAACGTAATCGTAGTGATTACATTCTCTTTGATATTACATGACACATTGTGCATATTACATGACACATCTGATTTACTGTATTAGCTGAATCCGGCTTTGCTTCGCTGCGGCTTTCCTTTCTATTTCCGTTAGCTATGTCTCTCTCCTGTTCATGCGCTAGTTTTTCAGTTTTGTCAACACAAATATACGGAAGCTATATTTATATAGGTACATAAAGATTTGACTACAGAGTATTTGTATTTGGCTATAGAACTCGCGCCATGTGAATCAAAGCGTAAAAAAACAAACTTAAAAATCTAGCTAAACCTGACAAAAACGCCAGCCGGTAAAATAGACTCGTGTGAAACGGACTTAAGTCATCAAAGTGAATTAAAAAATCCATGGTGTGATTCCGATAAGTTATCGTTTTAACGAGGAGATAAGATGGCGATATAAAGACATCACGGGTTATTGTTAACTAATACTGTACTAGATATGGATGATAATTATGTGCATAGATTACATAATGTATTATCGCAACGAAAGAGAAGCTACAACAGATATAGTATTCTACAATTATTTAAGGAATACATTAATGTTGGTGTTAATATGAATAATGTAATTCTAAAACTCAAAGGGACAGAATTTGTACAAAACAATGAGATAGAACCAATTATAACAAAAAAAAAAGCTAAAATGTCTGCAATTATCTTAATTATATTATAATAATCTATGTGATGGCTGGTCACAAAATTTTGATGTATTAACAATCTCATTGTAATCATTTCAGCCTGTTTGAGTCCACTTCTGAACATAGACCTGCCCCATAGACTGCCACGAAGTATGATCTTGCGCCACCTACATCTATCGACTTCCCGCACATTTGCACAGGTTTACTCCATCTAGTGGGGGGTCGTTTTACATTGTAGCCAGTATGAGGCTGCCAATCGATAACCTTTCTTCCTCAATGGTTATCGGGTTTACAAGCTATATGGCCCATTGCCACTTCAGCTCGTTAATCTTCTCTAAGTCAGTTACCTTTGTTCTACTGCGGATGTCTACGTTGTCAATTAATAATCTATACACATTAAATTTTGATACAGAATATTTTTTTTTAAGGACACATTTTTTTACACAACATTTGCAATGTGTAATGTATCAAAAATTTGTGAATATTATGAAGTCATTCAGCAGTTTTCAGGAATTCATTTATACATGAACCAATGTATTTTCTCAATTGCCTTTGCATTAAAAAATGTAATAAACTATAACTTTTACGAGCCAATATTTTAAACATTAAGATTACATGTAACTATTTAGTTACCTTCAGCTAGGTGAGTCTTAACCTGACCTTTGCTACAATAACAAATCAAATCCTCCAACCAATTTTTATAGACTATTTGTAAGACGTACAAAGCTATTCGCTGTTGTAGCATCAAATCTATAAAAGAATACATGATAGTTTAAAAATAGAAAAGCTAATAATAAAAACTGTTGATATGAACACAAATAGCGAATTGGCACAGATTCTCATAAACAACTGCATTGTTGGCACTTAGCCAGTATACATGTTTTCATATGACTTTTCTTATACAAGAATGTTTGTTTTGCTATGAAGAATAAAAAATATGCACTGTAAAAATATTGTTATCATATGACTTTGTAGCCCTAAATACATTAAAGAACTGCCTATACCTTCTCCACTGTCAGTATTGAAAGTGATTCTGTACAATTGTGAACGATAATTACGTACTAGTAACACTAAATTTTTTTATATCCAGGTTAAAATTTTATCTTTTTAATTTAAGAACTAAGAAACTTTATCAAATCAGTATGTAGGATTAGTTTATTAAATGTAGCTTACCCAACACTGGCAGGTATTCATGCAGCAGTGATTCATCAGCTGCCATCTGTTTTTCCGTTTTGCGTACAACAGGCAGCACCCATGGTTTCCCATTTTCATCTCTGTATGCTAATAAATGACAAATTCATATCAGAACTTCAATTATTTAAATTAATCCTTTTGTTACACTTTGTATTATTCAAAGTAAATGCTATGCATATGAAATTTAGCCCCCTAAAATCCCTACTACCATACTAAAACCTATTAGATTTAATACCAGATTTAGATAGTTTTTTTTTTGAAGTTTAATTAGTGTAGGTTTGAAAAAAGTTACAACGTTATAAGGTGATATATTTCTCTCCTCTACAAAAATTATTTTCTTGTCCCTCCTATGACTGACTTGACATAGGCAGAATTCTTTAAAGAGAAGCAATAAAGAAAGAAAGAAAGAAGAAGATGATAGAGTCTCAAAAAAGGACTATTTTACTTTAATAATTTAGCAAATTATCCATCCCTTTCCACACAAAAATTTCAGAACTCTGAACCTAAAAAGCTTGAAAATCATAATATTCGAAGTGTAATATAATGTTTACAACAAAACTTCGGAAATTAAATAAATTAATTCTAGTTATGCTAATTAATATTAGCCGATAATTCAAGTGGCCGAATACGGCGGATATTAATTTCTAGACCATTATTTTCTCTTACTCTCTCTTAATTTCCGGCCTGTTACATAACGAGCCGGAAATTAAGGTACATACATATTTATGAAGAAAATAAAAATATAATAAATTTTATAATTATATGCTTAGGTAAATACTTACCACCAATCGTTAAATTGACCTTATTTTTAAATGTGTCATCAATAAAAAGTTTGTTGAGCTGAAAAACCTCAATCGGCGGACCTTGCTGGACGACTTCAAAGCGCGAGCCCATTTTTAATGTTTTTGCGGTGAATGAGTAGCAGGCACCTGGCTATAGAACTTTTGATAAACTAAGTAGAAGTCGCCAAAACCGACTTATTTTGTTTAAAAATTATCGCGTGACCTTAGTATGTCAGCCAATGACACCAATGTCAAAAGCAGACAACTGACAAGCACTGCCAAGTTGCCAGGTTCCAGGCGACTCAACTAGGCATGAACATGTGGTGTCCATTATGTCAAATCACGACTGAAAGCTGTTACACGATACATATCATTTTATTATATATATATATGCAAATTTTATATATCCGTTCAAATCTTATAGGTATCACAAAAACTAAAGCGTTGCATAACCAAAACCAAGCACATGTCAACCAAAGAACTTATCCTTACGAGCGTTAGTAAAATTGTAAGGTCTTTGATATCAACGCAAGTTTTGTCTGAATAATTTATTTTAAATATTAATTCACAAAAATTTGATATTCGTTATTAAGAATACCATACGAAACGAAATAAATAACTTAATCGTTCGGCAACCAATTCCAAGAGATAAACAGTTTTATAAAAATTAAATATTATTTGATAAGGAATGTTTATAATAGGAATAAGTATTAATAAGTAATCTTGGAATAATGAGTAATCTTGTTTAATTTTGAATAGCCCCGCTATGAGTTAGGGTAACCATAGTGCCTGGGTGTACAACAAAAGTACGTAAGAAAAGTATGTTTATCAGTTACCTAGTACCCATAGTAGAAGAGGACCGCCTTCTGTATTTGAGTTTGAAGCGATAGAGAGGCTGACTGGGATTAACCCATTGGCAGAAAAAACTATCCGGATAATATTGGTCGGCACGCGAGGTATTAGTCATATGGATTGGTAATTATTGTTATGAATAATAAATACCTGGAAGAGTTTTTTTTGGTAAATCATGTATTTTGCAAATAAAAAAAATAAAAAATAAAGAAAGCAATGATCTGGTATAGAAAAAAAATAAAAAAAAATAAGTGTGTAAATGATCGTGATACGAACAACGGCCGTCTGTTTTGGGGCCACCCGATTACCGACCGAGCTATTATAACATTTTTTTGTGGCGAAATTTACTGTCATATTCGAATGATATTTTTCATATATATATATATATATATATATATTTAACATTACATATATATATATAATATAATTGCTCGTTTAAAGGATAAGATACTGCATCGGCCCATTCTTTCGTCGTCGTCAGAGCTGGCAGATTTTGTTCAAGTATTTAATAAATATTTCCGAAAATATTTTAATAAACATTTCCAGACATGTCTGGAACCGGCCTATGAACAGGTCCATATCAGGATCCACGCGACAGCGAACTCAGAAAAGTAATACTACGGAAATAAGTATAGGTTCCCTCTCGCATATTATTTTTGCAAACCTGCGTTGTTAGCGACATCTGTATCAAAACATTCAGTGTACAAATATTTATACCTCTATGCAGATGTATACACGTATTTCTATCATAATTATGTAGCTATACAGCGTGTCATTACCATCAAAGAGAATGTAATCACTACGATTACCATCGCGACAATAAATGAACACACGTCTAACGCTACTTGCAAATAATCATAAAAAATATTAACGTTAAACTAAATCCAACAGTAATCCAAATCCTCCTTCTAACAGTATGTTTTATCTCTTTTAAATTCATTCAACCCATTCATATGCTTTGTGACCTTTACAAATGAACTTTGCGTTACGCTTTTATAGGTAAGGGTGTTCTAAAATTCTTTGTTTTGGAAAATTTAATAACTCGGTAAATATTGATGTTTAAAGAATTTAAATGTTTAATATAACTTTAAAAAGTTATCCCCTATATGTGTGTTCATTTATTGTCGCGATGGTAACGACACGCTGTATATTTTTTTTTTGTATATATTAGTTTTCATTAAATAATAGTACTTTGGCTATAATTCAAAAATAAAAAATCATAGGATATTTATTAAGATTTCTATATAATTTAAAATATAATCTTAGTTAAGCGTGCGTAACAATAAATATTTTCACGCGCATAGAATGGACTACGATTCCACTACAGCTTTTGACGAGACTTCTAAGGTTTCTTTTCAACAACACATTGGCCACAAACATTGGTTGTATACTTGTGAACAAGTAAACATTTACTTAATTAACCTATTCATGGTAACTAAACTTCTTCAATTCTTCTTTTACTATAACGTTACTTTTAAATAGACAAACAAAAATAAAACTGGAAAGTTAAATTTAAGAGGCAGTAGAATATAACAAATTATTTTTTAAATTCCGTAAAAACTGGATTTTTAAGTCTGCATACTCTAGGATCATCTGGTCTCATAATCATGTAGACAGATTTGTACTCTCTATTATCACCATCCCTTTTTATATAATTATACACTCCAATTGTAGCAAGGACGCCTCCTATAATAGCCATACAACTTGAAGCCATAATTTCTGGTATTTCCCACCAACCTCTTCTAATTAAACCAATTAACGTTTTCTCAAAATGAACTTGATGACCAATTGTATTAGGAATTGTTCTTGGTTTTGGAATCTTCATATCTGCAACTTAGTTTATTTATAAAATTTCCAATTATATTTATAAGTGAAGGATTGATATTCGTTTTTAATAGCAGGATTGTAGCACAGTTTATCCAGCCATTAACATAGGCTGTTATAGGGCCTAAACAGGTTTAACACATTTTTATTTTTTAAAAATGCTTAAATTTAATCTTATTATTGTAGCAAGAAAAATCGATTCCATATTAGTTAAAAATTAATGTAAATTAACGTAGCATACAGTTGAGCTAATACGTCATAACTGGAAAGGTGAATTGCTATATTAGTAAGGTATTGGTTAGTTAGAACCAATACTCTCTTTTTATTAGTCAATGATTTTTACACAAGTTTATTATATTAAATTGAAGTAATAACAATGATGTTTTATATTCAATTAATAAATCTTAATAAATCGATTTATAATAAATCAGCTTTAATGAAAAATTAATATTGCGGCATCTGCTGACTTTAAAGATCACTACGATTTCAAGAGCCGTGATAGCTCAGTGTCCGGGCGTTCGCCTTTAATTCAATATACTCGAGTAACCTGAGTTCGATCCCCGGTGCCGGCACCAATGAAGTTTTTAACTTTAAGTGCTGACCTATCACGTGCTCCGCGGTGAACGAAAACATCGTGAGGAAACCTGCATATTTTCGAAATAATAACAAAAAAAAATATATTTCGAAAATATGTGAAGTAAGCCAATCCGCAGTGGGGCCGCGTGGTGGACTATGCCCTGATACCCTCTGTATAGAGGAGGCCTTTGCCCAGCAGTGGGACATGTATTGGCTGTTACTTTACTTTTTTTTTTTTACGATTTCAATAAATTATAGCTATGCCTATATCGCCCGGTTTCTGATCACCGTAGAAAGAAATTAACTTATCAGCTGTCAAATGTCATTTGGGATTTCGTTCAGTTCAGTTCAGTCCCTGTCGTCAACTTTTACTGCGTGAGGAAGCTTTACCCGAATTAATAAAAATTGTGACGGTTACTAGAATTCTAGTTCAACTTTATGTAGCCTGGCCTACTGGACAATAAGTTATTTAAAAAAAATCATGTATCGTTTCTATTTCTAACAATAGATATAAGTACCGATGTATCGAATCAACATATATCTGCCAAAAATATAGATATATCGGATGTTATTACTAATACGTTAGGACAAAAAAACTATGGACGGTTAAGAAAAATATACCCATATTTTCCGTATCGACATTTTTCCTATCGATTGAAAAATATCGATATATCGGACATATCGTTAGTATTCGCATGTTTATTCGTACGTATATCCAAACGATTCAAAATTTGTAAAAAATAATTGATATGAAGAAAATAGTAACATTACAGCTAGCTTTTCGACCGCAGCTTCTTTCGCGTTGAAGCCCTTAAATATCCTAAGAGAATGTAATCACTACGTTTAAATATCTTTCTTTAAAAAAAAATTGTAATCAAAAATTGCCTATGTCCTTCCTCAGGCTATAGACCATCTGTCTACCAAATTTCATTTAAATCAGTTTACTGTTTTTGGCGTGAAGACGGACAGACTAGAGTTACTTTCGCATTTATAATATTAGTATGGAAGTATGGATTTAATTATTAGGAGCACACTCAGATTGATGGCTCACCTCAAACGGCTTCTACGTTCGGGTACTATCAATCACGACTGAAGCAACTCTTGCGGAAGACACCGAAAATGCCTGGCGAATTAGGCATTTAAGGGCGACTTCTGAAAGAACCGGTGCATAATGATAATAATAATGACCCGTCGCCCGTCGCTATTGTTGGCTATGTGCGCTTATGTATATTACCTACTTCAGAAATAAGTGTATACCCGTGAGAAGTTCCCCGTCCCCTATCGTCCCTTTTCGTGGCGCCGTCAATATGTATCTATGTGCCTTCAGTGCGCATATCTCATTTTCCGTTATGTGTTTCGGACTGATTATACGTCTCTGAGCAGTGTATGTATCTGAAACTTATGAATCGCCGCCTTTAAAACATGGTGGATGCGTTTGCGCTGAACTAGTCGTGAAAAAGCCTTTATAATTCTCATGATACTTAAGTTAGCCGACGTCTAATAATTTTTGAAACTTTTTCAAAACGATACAGTATAAAACAAAACATATTTTTTTTAAATTTCTTCATGTACAAAGTTTTTTTTATGGTATTGATTTGTAAAAGACAAATCCGAAAATTAGTAATTGTCTGTTAAGTTCAGGGTCATATACGTCTCGCACTGATAGGTAATTAGGGTATGTAACAAGCATAAAGGGGCCCATTCACTATCCTGCCTGACAGTCCGCCGCTCTATGCAGGATCGTGAATGGTGTTGCAGGCCTGCACAGTATCAGGCAACACCGAGCAGGACGCGCCTTGCATCCTGTAAGGGTCCTGCAAGCTCCGCCCACCGCTTGCAGTCCAAATACCAGTCTTTCCT